TGATCACTGTGTACTGTGCTCCTCGGTGGCAGTTTCAATGATCAAGGCCGAGCGGAAAAATGGCAGCACGCCCACCCCAACCCCGCCTCATTCCATCGCTTCAAAGCACGCTCGCATCACTAGAATCTCTCTCTCTCAAGCCCAACCGACAGAACCTAGAAGAAGAAGAAAAAATAGGCAGAGGCACATAGGACTTACCCAAATAAGGCCCTTACGCGCGCTCGAGCGCAAGCACACATGCAACCCTTTGACAGGTTCATGTACAAAGGTGATGACATTGTGTTCTTGCTAGTGTGCCTTATGACTTTTTGTTCTCTCTCTAAATGCTGCCATGCCATAGTCCGAAAAATAATAAACAACACCCATTGTGAACAACACGAATACCGAAAATGGGACATTTCCAAGGACAAAAAGTGTAGAACATATGTTGTGGACGGCATTCTGTGCAATTTAGGACATAAAAGGGCAGCGCTGTTCGGCACCAGGAAAGGCCATATCCGAGCAAATCCAGCGCTATTCGGCAGCCACCTATCTGAACGCGCCGTGTACGCCGGATCTAAACCATCTGATCTGGCCCTGTTGACCAAAGTCGGGTTTCGCGGACGGCCAGTAAGGTCATAAGCTTAAATCTGACTCAGTCCGCGAACAGTCCGCCTCAAAATATGGAAAGATCCTGTCAGTAACCTCATAAGCTTAAAGCCACCATTTTGAGAGAATTCTTCTCATGAGAAGCGCGCACGTTTGACGCGGCTGGCTCGGGCACTGGCAAGAGCGTGGTTGGTGGGGTTTCTGGAGTGGCATTTCCTTCCACTTTGGTGGAGGACTTTCGTTCTCGCTGGCAATCAGGCTCGATCTCGACCGTGGCCGTGTTGTTGCAAGATGGCGGAAGAAGACCCGATCGTGAGTCCGGCCGCAATCGCGTGGGAATACGTGTTGGGCTGCAACCAGGGCGATGCAAAGGTGCAGGCTCGTGACACGGCCAACGCGTGTGTCCTAGCCTTACAAGCCTTCTTGGAAGCGTCTGCCAAGCCCGGGGCATTTGTGAACGCTCATCCCCAGTGGGAAGCGTTTGTGGCGGCCGTTCAGGTGCTCGCACAACATGTCGAGCAGAGCACAGTGGCCGCCGCTGACGAGGCTGGGGACAGCGACGCCAGTGACAGCGGCGTCAGTGGTGATGACAGCGACGATGATGAGGGCATCATGGCCAAGGGCTTGGTGACAAGGCCGACTTGCCTTTATCTGCATCTCAAGTATGGCTGCGCACTGGTAGCAACCACCGGGCCTGATGGCCGCGTGAGTCTGTTCGTCCTCGGCCTGGACAACCAACATTTTGTGGCTCAAGCTCCACCAAACAGCCAAGTCGAGACTACTGCGCGCACGGATGGCCACTTCCTCCTCCCCGTGGGATCACTATGGAGCCAGAGCGACGTGCAAAACGTCATCAAACTGGCCAAGCAGTCTCTCAAACGCAGCGCCAATGCAGAGGATGGCAAGGTGCACAAAACTCCAGGGTTTGTGCATCAGGCATACACCCGAGCATGGAGCGAACATGTCAATGGCAACGCCAGCAGCAATTTGCTAACAACCGGTTGGTTCTGCGCACCCCAAACAATTTTACGGTCCCCAAGAATCCCCTGCATTCTTATTTTCGCAACAATATCTCCTAGATGGTACTAGCAACTTTGGTCCACACACCAACACCAAGAAAAAACCAACAGCGTGGCCGCTCTGCCGAGAAGTGTTGCGCTGGGCCGTACAAGTTGTGCACAATTCGTTGCTCTCTCCTGACCACGAAGAACTCCTGCTGCTAAGCTTTTCCACCTGGCTTCTAGATGAAGTGATGAAAGACGTACACGCCCCTGGTACGCGCACCCCCCTCTTGCGCCGGTACCAGACTGTCCCCTCACCATTGAAAACTTTGTCTCAATAGATCAGTGGCATGCCGCAGCTCAACGCCACATGGTGGCGCTCAATAACCTTGGTGCGCGAGTCCGGCACCATAACAACGCCCAACTCGATGCCATGTATTCGCAGCTTCTTCAGGCCACCAGCAACATGGTCCGGCAGTTTGATCAGACCCGGGGAAGCCCCGCTGCCAGGCAACTCGAGCTGAGCTGGGACAACTTCCGGGCTGCAGACGTGCCACGCACCGCGCCAAACTCGGTCGTCTCAACCGTTGCCAGCGTCGTCAACGAGTACAACGCTGCACTCAACACTCCGAAGAGATCGCAGGGTCTTGACATCCATGCCATTTGCAATGATCTGGGCGCGTCCTTGTCGCTGTCACCCGAAATCCAGACGGCTCTTGCCAACCAGCGCTTGACACTGGCTCACCTGAAGCAGTTATCGCTTACACTGGACAAGCTTCAAGCAAAGGTTGTCTTTAAACTGGTGTTTGAGCGTTACGTACATCAGACGCTAACAAGGATTCATGCATGTGACCGTGCCTTCGATGCTGAAGCAATTGCACTCGACGATGAACTGCTGCTGCATCTCCTTGACATGCACTCCAAAGTTTGTACGGAGCTGGGCGGCAGCTCCCCGGATCCGGCTGAAACCACCACCTCCGAGCTGTACACCGAGCTGCTGCCACTGCCCGCGGCCTTGCAGTCGCAAAAAGCACTCATGCAAGTTGCCGCGCTCGTCTTTCTGCGATATGCGGCCGAGTGCACCTGGCCTCAACTGCCTTGGAGTAGTCCAGAGTACAGCATGCCAAACTTGGAACCAATCGTGCCCTTCTGGACCCTCGATGACGCACAAGATATGCATACCATGAACATGGCCTTGTGCTTTATTTCAGAGCGCCACCCAACGGATGAAATCCCCTTTTTGGTAGCAAGCACGCTGGGCACACTTCAAGACGATTTTGCCCAGCACTACTCAAATTGGAAGCAGGACACGTGGTACAGCACGAGCCTGGAAGAACGCCTCCAGCAAGAGCGACAAAACCACCGGCGTCTTCGACAAGAGCACTGGCAAACGGTTCAACGCAAACAGCGGAATGCCAAGCAATACGCCGCTGACTTGGAAAATCTCGAGCAATCTCGTGATGTGGCGCAGAAAGAGCAATACACTGCTAGCCACGATGCAGATGCTGCCCGGCGTGAATGTCAGCTGCATGTCAAAGGGTGCCATTTTGCACGCGAGTATCTGGGCCAGAGAGGTCACAGCAACTGGTCAATATATTCCCATGGCATCTCTTGGTATACTTGTTCAACTTGCAGCAATTTAAAGAGCAAGTACACCAGCAAAGACAGCACGAGATCGCAAGCTGAGAAGAACACCACGTCGGCTCAAGCTCAAGTTGACGCAAAGTCCAAACAACTTCGGGCTGAGCTTGTCCCTCCTCCCGCCGTTCAGTTGTCTCTGCCCGAGTCGGACCATGAGGCTCTTGCAACGCTGACGGTCTTCTACTTGCCCTTGCGCCTTCAACGGCTGGCTGAGTGTGCGCGACAGACCTTCACTCTCATGCAAGAAGTTGATGAGCCTAGAAAGAAACAACAAAGTAAACGGCACACAGAAGCGTTTCAGTTGTTCAACAACCTTCAAACAGGAAGTCAAGCTAAGCTCGACATTGACATCGACTTGCAAGCGACCACGCTCGAGCCGCGAACGAACACGCGGTTTGTCAGCGTCCATCACCTCCAAGGCGAAGAGGACGACATCAACTATATGGAGCGACCTTTGCTATCAACACTGGCCCAGTGGAAGCCACCCAAAGATCGGACTGAATTAGCGGCGTTCTTTGGAACCGTCTCTCCCACCGGCCCAGCACCAAAACCAAGCCGTAGGAGGCAGCCACAAGCCGTGGATCGCCTTGGTGCGTTTCGACACCAAGCCGTCAACCCAAGCATTGAGCCATCAGATGCAAAAGCCACCCACCAGTGGTCTGACCGCGGCACCGAGGGCAAGGCCACGCCGTTTGCAGTAAGCAGTTGCGCAAACCTGGATGATGGGGACATCTTTGCTGCCCAGCGAGCCGGGCGCTTGTTGCAATGGACCAACTTAGCTGGTATACTCCGGCTTGATGCCTTGTCCTTGCTTGAGCCGCAAGTTGTGCGTCTACTCAAAGCCATGGTGGCCGAGGTCGGCGATCTCGAAGACCATTTTCAGCGCGCCGTGGCGTGGCCCAGTCGCGACCCGGCTGTTTGGCGCACCTTACTTGCTGCCATTCGCAGAAGCATTGTCAACATGAGCACGGCATGCAAGTTTGTCCCATATGGAGCAGCATTGGGCACCTTGACTGGAATTCTGACTGCGTTTGACGCGCCATCACAGAGCCAGGATGCCATGAGCGACAACTCTCCAACAGCATTTGACCTCGTGCTGCAACTGACCGAGTGCTTGGACGCACATGCTCAAAACTGGGCCACCGAGCAGAGCAAGGCCTTGGCAGCCGGCAATGAAGCATTGGTCAATCACCTTCAGCAGCGGCGCTTCGAGGCCTACAATTTGGCTATTGTAGCGTTTCGACATGTTTCGTGGACCAAGGTTGAGGTACGCCAGCGAAGACAAGCCCTTCGGCAGCTGTTGCGATACCGTATCCTGGGCGGTGGCCATGGCGATGGCTCCAACAGTTCCATGTGGCTAAACGATGCCGCCTTGACCTCTATGAGCCGCCTGCTGGTCGAGCTGTGCCAAGAGCTACAGTCATCTGTTGAGGAGCCTGACTTCCCAACAAGGATGGCACAATGGGTGGATGAGGCCATGGGCCACGCAGGTGGTGCCTCACAAGCGCAATCCGCACAGCTGTATGGTGACACGCTCAATTTGCTTGTTATTGATAGTGGCCGCCTAGCCATCAACTGTCTGACGGGCTTCGTGCTCTTCAACGGTCAGCCAGCCAGCCAGCTGCCACCTCGCTTGCTGGAGGACGCTGAATACAAGAGTTTTTTTGGCACCCGCATGTTTCCCGTGGCCGTGGACAAAGACGGCAAAACCTATCGTGCTGTTGCGCCGATTGATGGGTTTATGTACACCTTCATCGACACCGACGGCGCAGCCGACGGACACCAGCTGAGTATCATTCAAGAACCAGAACCAAAGCCGGATGATCCAGCTGGAGGGCCAAGACCTGGTCAGCGCTTGCTGCTTGCACGAGGCTTGGCCAGGGCGCTCCTTTCTGAACATCCACTCCACAGTCAAATGGTGGCGTGGCTTGACCTTGTCTCAGAGTCGATTGTCTTGCGACAGCTTCCAGAGCGTGATAGTTGCGGCTTCCAGGCGCGGCATGTTGCTTATGTGGGCGTGTCTATCGCAGATGACTGGCAGCTCCTACGGCCACCTCCAAACATGCAAGAGCAAGCCGTGGTGGACATGCTACCGATTGCAACGCACGTTGCTTGTCATTTGGCTGAAGCGGATGTTGAGGAGTCAGAGTCCGGATGGCAATCGTGGATCTGGGCTGAGACAGTCAGAGAGCATCCCGTGCTCATGGCTTTGCACGATGTGCTTCTTCGCGTTGAGGACGCTTGCAGCCTGTCTTGGTATCGGCCTTGCAGCAACGCGAGCTGCGTGGATGTAGATCTCTTGCGGCTGGGTCTTCGCTTTGAGCTGAGTCCCGAAGAGGGCATTCGATCCCTCAATCATCAAGGGTACCGACTGTGCGCGCTGCAAGTGCTCAAAGACAAGCTTCCTGGGTTTGACAGCTATCTTCTCCTTGAACGGACCGTGCAGTTTGAGTCTGAAGCTGGCCGCCTACCTGCCGCACGCCACCGACTCTTGGTACCAGAGCCGTTGGAAGCAAGCCAGACCCCTGAGCATGCATTGGCTAGTCGCCGCTCATTTACGGCAAATATTCACGATACCCTCGGGTACTTGGAGGCGCAATCGACCACAGATCGTCTCGCACTTGCGCTGGTCTATTGTCGGCTCAAGCCAGAGCAAGTGGACCTATGCGCCGGTCGCAATGGTCCAGCGCAATCGCTGGAGCTCGTGCGCCAATGCTGGCAAGGGCACCACTTTACTGTTCTAGAACAAGACTACCTTGAAGCCGTTGCACATGAGACTCGGTTTCCATCCTTGGCCCTAGCCGTGGCAGTCATCGCTCGAGCCTCATTGTCCTGGAAAGATGAAGACGACCAGAAACAGCAACGAATGCTTGCCTTGGCTCAGCCACAACCTCTGGATTTGGCCTATTATCAACAGCATCACCGCGGCTTGCCTCTTGGCCTGCGACTCACGCCACACGAAATGCGTGAGCTAGGCCTCCCAGAATTGGAGGGTTCCATTGCACCGTTCTGCGACGTTGGAGACTGGAATTTGCCAGAAGATGCATTGCGAGGCCATGTCAGTCGTAAGGTTACCCAAGGGGCTGCGCAGCTGCATCAGGATCTAGCTTCGGCATGTGACGAATTGGCATCTTTTGAGAGGAGCATTGCGACGCGTGAACAAGATCTTTGTCGTCTGGTGGAGCAACAAGAGCAACGACCAGAAACCACCGATCCCGCGCTCGCCCTGGATATTGAGCGGAAGGATGGAACACGCATGTACCAGCACCTGCAACGTGAGTTGAGCAAGAGCATGGCACTGCATGACAGGCGCGCGCAAGTTCGCTTCACGCTCCCAGACGACCCCACCCTGCTGGAGGGAGAGCTTGCCACGCTTACCCAGCTCACGGCGGAGCGACAATGTTTGTGGCAGCATTTGGCCCGTGCCTTGACCTTGCCCACGACGGTGCACCAGGCGCTCAATGACCCGCTGCGGGCACGAATGAGTATGCTACAAGTTGGCGGCCTCCTACGTCGAGCCACGCCCCAGAGTCTGCTGTACGTCCTTGCCGGCGTCAACGATGACGAGCGGCTTCGCCGCGTTCGAGAGCACAACCCATACTTTGACCAGAGTCACTGGCCCAACTTCCAAATTGTCGCAATTGAATGGCTTCAACGCATCGTGCTGGAGCAACGCTTGGATCGCATTACCCGGTTGGCGCGTGCTTTGCGGCATGTTGATGGACCTGCGCAGAACAACATCAAAGAAGTCATGCTACGTGAAGTGATGACGGTTCGGACGTATGCCGCTGTTGAACATCTGGAATGGCTCCTTTTTGAAGTTAGCAGTCAGATTCAAATCCGGCCCAAGCAGACTGCCGTGGCGCTGCGCCTCATCAAGGCGGAGGTCGATGAGAAAAAGGGTCCAGTTCTGCAGCTCAACATGGGCGAGGGCAAGACGCGCGTGATTCTTCCAATGCTGCTCCTCTTCTACCGTGCACAACGGGCTTCAGCCACAGGCACTGGGATGCTGCCCCTGACGTTCTTCCTGCCTCAGTTGGTCGACCAATCCTATGAGGCGCTACATGCCAAGCTCACAGCCAGCCCCTTCAAGATGCCGCTGCACCACTTCCGTTTTGATCGCAGCGTGAACGCAACCCAGGCCTGGATCAGCCGCGCCTCTGCACGACTCTGTTGGCTTGAGGGACAAGGTCACGGAGCAGTGGTCCTCACACCCAGCGACTGGCTCTCGCTACGGCTCAAGGTGGTTGAGCTTCGGGATGCACAGCGTCCGCTGCTGGCCCGACTCCTGAACTGCCGGGTCGTCGAGGCCTGTCCCTTTTTGCATCTCTATGACGAAGTTGACGAGATTCTGAAATACAATTTTCAGCTCATCTACGCAGCGGGCGGGCGCGAGCGCCTCGTGCATCGCGAAGCGCGCGTCCTTGCTGTGCAGGCTGTGTTGCAGCTCTTGCATACTCCTGACGCAGCAATGCAGGAAGCCATGGACAAGGGTGACGGCACATCGTGGCTGGCTAACGAGGCTCATGAAGCTTCAGGAGAAGCTTTATTTGTGCCCAAGTTTGTGATTGATCAATCGGCAGCGAAGCGCAAGTGGCGGGCACTATGCGACGCTATGATGGCTCGTCTGCTGCAACGACCCGAGCTTGGAGAGCTGTCTTGGTTGACAGAGTTTGCTGATGGACAGGCGCAGAAGCTGGCGTGTTTTACTTGTGATCCCACCTCTTCCTTGGACAGTTTGAGAGTGAAGTTGAGTGAAGGACATACGGCATTGCTCTGCACATTGCGTGGCCTATTGGCCCACAAAATGCTCTTGCGAATTTTGAGCCGGCGCGTCAACGTGAATTATGGCATTGATGAACGTCGAGACAAGCAAATTGCCGTGCCCTACCAGGCTACCGACACACCGACAGAGCGCAGCGAGTTTGCCAGCATGGACGATCAATTGGTCATGACCCACTTGGCTTGGTATGTCAAAGGCCTCCGCCCTACTGACATGGAAAACGCCGTCATCCAGCTCCAGCGGCGCTCAGAGCAACAGCAAGCCAGTCTCTACCAGGAGTGGTGTGATGCGGCCGGAGGAAGCAGCAAGTTACCAGACGAGGTGCCTAGAGAAGCCAATGCCCTTGATCTTCAGGATGAAAATCAAGCGGCGCTGCTCCACGCAACTTTTGGCCACAACTACAAGTGCATCAATTTTTGGTTGACGACTGTGGTGTTACCCCGCACCTGCCAGTATCCCGCGCGACTGCAAGCCACGCCCTTTCATCTTGCTGATGCTAGCCACCAAATGGGCTTTTCCGGCACTAACGATACCAACCTGACGCTGCCCTTGTCCATCTGCTCTGTTCCAGACCTGAACAAAGTTGAGGTTCAGGTCATGCCTCGCATAACGGACGAGCATTCTATCGACACAGAGCTGGGCGCCACGAACGGACTGATGGTTCGTGCTCTTCAGACGGAGATGTTTGTTGACTGCATCCAAGAGCTCATAGTTCACGATGATATCCAGCACCCCGAAAGCCGGCCGCTCCCTGAACTGGTACTGGACAAGGCGTTGCACATGGGGGTGGAGGCACTCATTGATGTGGGCGCTCTGTTGGCTGGTAAACCGCTGCACGCCTGCGCCAAGTACTTGCTGAGTCACAAGCATCTCAATTCGAAGATTACATGGGAACATGTCGTGTACTCGGCGAAGGATCAAGCGTCACAGCGACAACAGTGGGTTGTGCAGGACCGCCACGGCCACGTGGATCCGTTGCGCCTGGCCACGGTGGACCCTGCACATGCCATGGTCATCTATGACCAATACAACTGCCGTGGGGCCGATCTTGCACTGAAGCAAGAGGCGCGCGCTCTCATGACGCTAGGCCTGTCCGTGTGCAAGGACGAGCTGATGCAAGCTGCTGGCCGGCTACGCCAGCTCACTCGCGGCCAAAAGCTTGCCGTGGCAGCCCCGTCTTTCGTGATCAGTGCCATGCAGCGCGTCCTCGGCCGACCGAGTAGTGACAATGCCAAACTAGGTGTGGGCGAGATGATCAAGTTTGTACTGCTCAACACACAAAGCCGCAACCTCGGTGGACTGAAGCTACAAGCTCAACAGGGTCTACAATTTGGCTACAGCCGGGCGGATCAACGCATGTTTCGCTTACGGGAGCAGAACGAACCAACGGAACTGTTTGGCGGGGTCTACAACGAGCGCACAACCATTGAGGAAGCAAAGTATCAAAATAAACTACTACGCCATCAAGCAGACAAAGAAGTGGACGAGCAGCTGCAGACACATATCCATGCCATTTTTGAGCGGTGCAAGGAGTTTGGGATTACGCGCAAGGACGTCGAGCGCGGCCAAGGCGAGCTGCGAAGCGAAGATTTGGAGATTGAACGTGAGGAAGAACAAGAATTGGAGGAGGAGCAACAGCGAGAGGTTCAACGAAAAGCAACTCTGGCACGGCCAGAAGAAAAGTGGCCCGTGGACAGTTTGCTATCACAAGAGTTTGACAAATGTCAAGCACGTGGGAAGCTAAAGCTGCTGCAGGACTGCCAGCCGTTGGCTGATTTGGGCTTTCAATGGCCTCCAGAGAAGCAGATTTGGTGTACCAGTAATTGGTATCAGTGGTCCGCGGACGAGGAACATACCACCCGACTACCGCTAGTGAGCTGCTGCATTGTTTTGAACGATCGGGTTGTCGTGGTGACGGAGCGAGAGGCCTCTTGGTTCCTGGAGAACAAAGGCCTTGCCCCATACCAACGTGCGCCACACGCCTATGCACACGAGCTCGGCACACCTGCCCTGGTGCAACTACGGTGCACGGCAAATGCCCGACTTGAAGAATTGCTGACCACGGGCGTTTTGGCCATGTTCCTGTTGATCAATTGTCAAGTGTACTTGGCAGCCAAGGACGTGGCTGGTGAGGTTGTACGACCAGCTGAGAACGCGAGCTATCGCAAGCGCATCGAGCAAGCATGGCGTTGCATTTTCAAGCCACTTGGTCAACGTGCCGTGGAGGTTGCGGAGAAGGTGGTAGAGTTGCGAGACGCCCGTCACCTGCTTCCACGAAGCCATCTCAAGGATCAGTGTGTTGCGGTGGCGACGGTCGCTTTTGCTCGATGAATCACTTTCATCACAGAAGCCGGCGGCCGATTCCAAACAGCAGCTCCAATGCCGCATTGCTCCTCGCATTAATCGCGCTGCTGAGCGTTGTTTTGTCACATTTGTGTCAAGTGTGGTCGGCTTTGCGTTATATGGGTGTAAGCCCTCGGCCTTGTTTTTGACTTTGTTGATTCTCGTGAATGAGTTGATTCCTGCATCATAGACTCATCCGGATGTTCCAGGAATTCAACTTTACACTCTATCTTTCACGTTGCGACAATCGTTGTCACTGATACCCGTTGAAACAAAAACACGAGTCTCATAATCATCGTGACATGTACAGTGGGAGTGACCCATCGCAACGCAAGAGGGAGGGGCTGAGAAGGGCCATCCCGTCGACAATACTTGCGACATCCAGAGTGCCATCATAGCTACAATCTGTCCCCAGTCTGAAAGCGGGGCCTTTTTGCACCTTCCATAAGATGGCCGCGACCCTGTTGAGTGCGCTGCATCACCTGGGTCGAAATAGCGAGGGCCAGCTGCCAGTTGTACACTGTCGCCAGTCAAACGTTCGCCTCACTCGTAACGGCAGCGGCTGTCTGATGACCGTCTTCCATTGCCTGCGCCCGCCGCAGCCGTTCAAGCATTGAGTGCGACACACAGGTGCGTACACCTTTTTTTCGCCGGATCGGCGGCATTTTGTAACGGTCACTTAGCAAGTACCCTTGCAAAGGGCAAAGGAAAAATGCAATTCGACTGAAAAAGTCAAAGTTAAATGAGACTTTCTACCTTAAGATTTCAAAGTTAGAGGGTACCCCACGGTTTGTTTTGAAACCACTGACTGGGCAGTGCTGGTGACCGAACACCAACAGGCACACAGGCACACAGGTACACGGGCACACGGGCACACGGGCACACAGGCACACAGGCACACAGGCACACAGGTACACGGGCACACGGGCACACGGGCACACAGGCACACAGGTATACAGGTACAGGTGCAGGCAGAGATGGACGTGATCTCGACACCTTGGACCCTTGATCTCGCTTCTTCTTCTGCCCCAGTCGCTTCTCCACTGCATCTGCATCGGCCTCGGCGTCCTGTCGCGCACATCATGGGTACCCGCCGCCTCACTGATGTCGCTTTCCCTCTCTTTCTCCGCTCGCCTGCAGAACGTCAACATGGCTGTGCGTCAGCTCCTGCAAAGCACGCGAACCCGCCTGGCGGCCAGCATCTCTCGTCCCTTGAGCTTCATGGGTCCCTTGCTCTCGGTCAGACCTCGCCGCCAAATTTTCATTCCAAGCAACTTCCCCTGGAACCCAGATGCGACCCCCTCACGTGTAGTGCTTCTTCGTGATGGATGCTGACAGGATGACCGCGAGAAGGCTCGAAGCAGTGCGCCGCAATGCAGTGCCTCACCCATGGTCACCCGCATTGCAACAGCTGCTGCCGTTTTCGGCGCCGGTGCCCCTCTGGCGCTGGCCCAGGGCTCCATCTCCGCGGCGGCAGCCGCTGAAGGACTCGTGCACACTGCGGCGGGATATGCCCTCTCACCAGCTGTTGTTGGCCTGCTCTCAACGGCGGGCCCTGCGTGCTTCTTCTTTTTGCAAATCAGCGGCGCTGCTCCGATTCGTCAGATCATGCGTGAGAAGACGACCGGCCAGTTCAGCCTCTTGCCCTTCATCTCCCTCTTTACCAACTGCGTCATCTGGACGTGGTACGGCCACCTCCTGCAGGACCCCACGCTCTTCTACTCCAACCTGGTCGGCGTCGGTGCCGGCGCCGCCTACACGGCCATCTACCTGAAGCACGCCACCACCTCCCATGCCCCGATGCTGCTGGGCAGTGCTGCCCTGTGCAGCTCTGTCACGGCCGGTGCTCTCATGCTCCCGGCGGAACAGGTGGCCCCGTACATTGGCTACCTTGGTGACATCATCGCCGTCGTCCTCATGGCGTCGCCCCTCGCCGTCATGAAGACGGTGCTCCAGGAGCGCAGCACCCGTGCCATGCCCTTTGTCCCCTCGCTCGTACGTTTTTATACCAGGTCCTCGCTAGCCCAAGCCCCCATGCCTGCGGGTTGGCTTGCACCAGCTTAACGCACTCACGCCGCAACTCTTGAATCGCACTGCACCATTAGGCCACCTTCTTCAACGCCGTCTGCTGGTCTGGCTATGGCATTTTCGTGATGGGTGACCCTCTGATCATCGCCCCAAACATGCTCGGTACGCCACGTTATGCTCCATGGAGAAAAGACATGGGAGTGCTCACCCTGGCCTTGAGCGTGCTCTGTTCCATCTCTGTCGTGTCTTTTATCTTGAGCCATCATCAACCTCATTGCTCCACATCGTATCATCTGCTGGACCACAGGTGCGCTTGCCGCGACGGTGCAGCTCAGCCTCTTTGCCCGCTTTGGCATCAACAAGTAAACTCAACCAAAAGCTGAGCGGTTTTTTTTTTTTTTTTCCATGTTGTCGCCGTCGAGCAGGGGCACACCGCTCACAGTGTCATGTCAAGTCGTGTTCCTGCATGTCAACCGTTGCTTAATTTGTGCATGAATTCTTTTTGTTTTTTTAGCTAGTTGCATTTGCTGGGCCTCATGAATCCTGTGCACCATCCACGTTTTGAGCACAAACACAACAACTTATGGATCGAGACCAACAGCAACAAAGGGGAGGGAAAGAAAAGGAAAAAGGATTGAGTCAATGGACCTGCGGGTGACCACAACTCAACGCCCAACGGCTTTTGTTGGAGAGATAAAGGCCGTGCGACCATATACTGGAGAACAGACACCTCCGGCCTTGTCAGCGACAATCTAGACCTGAGAAGGAGTGACAGTGCCTGCCGAAGCTGGGATCTGTTGCCACGGGCTCTGCAGCTCAAACTTGCGGAACTCCTGGGCCAGCTCGAGGGGTTCGCAGACCACACGCTTGACATCCTCGTCGTAGCGAACTTCAACAAAACCAGAGAGGGGGAAGTCCTTGCGCAGCGGGTGGCCCTCAAAGCCGTAGTCGGTCAAGATACGGCGAAGATCGGGGTGACCCAAAAAGTAGACGCCATACATGTCCCAAGCCTCACGCTCATACCAATCCGCAGCCATGTGAATGTCAACAATAGAGTCGACAGGAGTCAACTCGTCACAATAAGTGCGTACGCGGATACGCTCGTTCAGGTGAACAGACAGGAGGTTGTATACGACCTGTCCAAAGATTTTTTTGGAAAAAAAAAAACGAGCATGATGAGAATGCCGCACGACCGCAACGCCCGACTGAGTAAAGAGGATTTGGCTTGGAGCATGGCCACGGACGCCACTCATGAATGTGTTGTATGTATCTCAAGCTTGAAGCAGCACAAGAGCGGGGGGATGCGCCCACCTCGAAGCGTTTCTCGCGGCGGGGAACATCGACGGCACAAAGGTCGCTCAGGTTTTTAAACTGGCAGGCCGTGTGGTCACGGAGAAAGGTCAGGACGGGCTTGACACCGCTGGGAGCAATGAGCAGCTCCAGCTCATCATGCGCAGTCACCTGTATGTCAAGGCAAATGGACGAGTTGGGGTCAGAGACGAGCCCATTCCGAGGAGCGTAATATGGCCTTCGGCACACGGCGATGGACAGCTGTAGACCACACCTGAGCCACTTGTACGTAGCGAGGCAACATCTCGGCAATGTGCTGGCCCAGCTTCTCCAGGCGCTCGTGAACGCTAGTCTTGGGCATAACTAAGAGGCGCAATGAAAAGAGGGGTTACGGATTCAGCACCCAAGACCAGCGAGAGGGTGAGTTGGCCGTAATTGGGACGATTGAGGCCGCAGGAAAGGAAAAGCTAGGAACGGCTGGTACTGACCCTCGGTCGACATGCAACGGCGGAGCGCTAGCAGGAGACCAAGCAAAGCGAAAGAGGAAAGGAGAAGAAAACAAACGGTCAGGACATCGCGACGCCATGCCGGCCAAAGTCACGCAGCGCCGCTCCAACATCAGCAGCGCTCAGAGCCGAATAACACGAGCGAGCACCCATAAAGCCAGGCATACCCGAGTTCTGAAGGCTAGCCACGGCAGCAACGCGGCTGGACATTCTGGCAGCCGACGCCACACGGCCACTGCCCCGCAGTGCACGCTGCAGCATCATGGAGACGTTTGCCGCTGCCATCTTGTGTCGGGTCTGAGCAAAATAAAATACACGAGCGACGAGCTGAGATTCAGAGAGTACGGCGATACAGCTTTGAGAACCAGAGATGGATGCTCGAGTTTGGAGAATTTTAGACAGACGTGTGGTTTGGTGAACAAACTTTGGCTGACAACAGGCGAAAACCATAAGGTCTCAGAGATGTGCTTCTTCCAGGCTAAACAGCCAGAGAAAGACGAATCCAATCACCACCGTCTAGAGAAAATCGACGACCAAGGTTTCTTTTGTCTCCCTCTTCTTCTGTTCCTTATCTCAAAATTTGTATCAAACTACACACACTTTTCCCCCTTGTTTAATAGCCAAGTTTGAGTGACATTTGGTTCCTCATCAAGATGGCGGCTAACGAGTAAGTAGAGAGATGAAAGAAAAAAATCAAAAAAAGAGAAAAAAAAAGAAAAAAAAAAGAAAAAATTGGTGAACAGTGCGGAAACTGGAAGCGGCAGCATGGTGATGCCCTGTGAAAACGGCAGCGGCATGGGCCGGTGATCGTGCGCGCTGGTTGAATGGGACGTGAGGGGGTTGGGATGTGTGGCTGTGGTGGTCTGGGGAGGAGGGACTGGATGCTGTGGCTTGTTGGGGTGCAACGGTGCTTGCGTGCTTGGCTCATGTCGCTCTCTCTGTCTGTGCTCGCTCGCTCCCAACTGACGTTTGGACTGAACCGAACCTGGACTCGGCGGGGCGCGTGCGGCTCACGTGTGGTGCATCTGCTTGAATTACTTGCTTGCTCTCGTAAAGTAGTGGTGAAAACGGTACGGTCGGCCAGCTGGCTAGTTCTTCTTTTTCGCACCTGTATTGAGCCGTCGGTTGTTCTGCCCCCGCTCTCACTGCTGATTGGGACACTCGCGCGCACATCCACACAGGCATGGACGAGCAAAAGCGCTTGGCCATGGAGGAGTACGAGCGTCGCATGAGAGAGCAGGCCGAGATTGCTGCCTCGCGTCGGTAAGCTGTCACCTATCTTCCTTTTTCCATGTGCCCCGCCCCGATGCCACCGACTCATTCAACTTCCTGTAGCATGGATGACCGGCCTCCTGAGGGCCCGGCTGCGCCTCCGCCGCCACGGGATCATGGGGATCGTGGTAGCAGCAGGGACTATGAGCGCCGCCCCAGCCGGGACCGTGAGTCAGATCGTCGCGATACGCGTGACTACGACCGGGATCGACGTGATTACGGATCCCACGATCGTGATCGCCGCTCGCGTTCCTTGGAACGCGACTCGCGCCGCTCCTCCGAGCGCGATGCTCCGGAGTCCAGGTACACAAGGCTTCTGACCCTGCTGCACCGTCTAACTCGCTTTTATTTTCTCGGTTTTGTTCCTCCTTTTATTTTTCCCCCAAGACCCGCTGGTTCCGACAACTCTTTCCCGCGTATTATCCTGTGACCCCCTCTGACTCCTCCTCTTGTTGCCCTCTCGGTTTCAAACTTGACAGCGAGCCGTTCCGCTCCAAACGTCTTTGGTAAGTTGAACATTGCTTATTTGCCCCATGCTGCTGGTTGTCTGTTTTTTGGTTTCTTGTTGTTGTTGTTGTTGTTGTTTTCCTTTCCCTCTCTGCTCCGCAAGTGTTCTAGATACCTTGCTTCCTCTTATCAGTTGCACCATACCTTCTCCTCCACCTTGCCTGACGTGCCATAGGCCCTCAGAGGCCTGGGACGTACCACCTCCCGGCTATGAAAACATGCCCCCCAAGGTGTACAAGGACTATGTTTGTACGTACTTTGCTGGCCTGCCCATCTCTGCCGAGCTGCCGGGCTTGCGCAGCAGGTGTTCTCCTCACCCTTGTCCAACCTCTGCCAGCTGCGGGTGCTTTGCCCCCGCCTTCCAACGGAGATCAGACAGCGCAACCGGTTAGTCCGACAATGGCACCTGGCCTATCGTCTGCATTGCCGTGAAGCTTGATCTCACTCTCATTCGCAAAATCATGTGGTCGCTAGCAACCGGCTTTGAGCATGCCCAACCCCTTGACACGTGGTGCGCGCCGTCTCTACGTCGGTGGCATTCCCAACGGTGCCAATGATGTACGTACCAGCATCCCTGCCCACACGCCCGTGGCTCGTTCATTCTACCATGCATGCCGCCTCGTGAATTGTAAACTCTTCCCCCACCATTGTCTCGTGCGGGTAGATGGAGCTGGCCGAGTTTTTCAACATGCAGCTGACGCAACAGGGCCTGACCATTGGCCCTGGTGCGCCTGTGGTCAGCGCACAAATCAACGAGGAGAAGTCCTTTGCGTTTTTGGAGTTGCGCTCGCGTAAGTAGGCCCCTTTACGGAACGAATGAAGCAATTCTATTCGCAGACGGTACCCACCAACAAAACTCGCGCGGAAGGCCTTGACGCTTTTGCTCACTCCCTCTCCATCTCCCCTGCACTACGCACCCTCAGCCGAGGAAGCCACCAGCTGTATTGCCTTTGATAACATCATGTTCATGGGCAATCAGCTGCGCATTCGTCGCCCCAAGGACTACCAGGCGCCCGCTGGTGGCACCAGCGAGGTGCCCAAGGTCGACATGCCCATGCCTCGCCCCATGCCCATGCCCACGCCCATGCCCATGCCTACGCCCATGCCCATGCTCGTACCCTCGGGCCGCCTCAACGTCACCAACATTCCTTTGGCCATGGATGAGGAGCAGCTGCGCGAGCTCTTCTCGGTCTTTGGCACCATTGCCTCCCTCGAACTGCGCAAGGAGCCCGAAACTGATAAGTTTGCCGTACGTTTGAATGCGCTATTCTTGTCACCATGATTCGTCCTCACCCTCTTTTCTTGTTTTTGTTTTTCCGTCGCGCTCTCATCTCTATTCTTCTTCTTCTTTTTTTTTTTTTTTTTTTTTTCTTTAACGTCACATGACAGGGGGATGCCATTGTTGAGTTTGACACGCGGGCTCCCGACTTCCTGAACCAGGTCAAGGCTGGTCTGGAGGACATTGACTTTGAGGGTCAAAAACTCAAGGTTGAACAAGTGGTGCGTTGGTGGTCCTATTGCGGACTGCGTGCATCATACATTGCACCTTCGCTTGTGAACGCTTGTCGTGACATTGCCCTGCTTGGATGTGCCACCTTTGTGTTCAGATGATGCCCCCGGGCATGTTGCCGATGATGCGCCCGGCACCATTTGCCCCCGGGGCCGGTCCGGCTCCTGCGGCAGCTCCTTTTGTTGGCGGCGCCGCTGCGCCTGCCGTCCCTGATGTGGAAGCCACAGAGGTCTTGGTCTTGATGAACATGGTGACCAAGGAGGAATTGCAGGATGACGAAGAATACAAAGGTGCGCGCAGCGATCTCAAAACATTCCATGCACGACCAGAAGCCACAGCTTACATTTTCGTTGTTCCCGTTTTAATGTGTTTAGACATCATGGAAGATATCCGGGAAGAATGCGGCAAGTTTGGCAACATCACAGATCTCAAAATTCCCCGCCCGGTCGCCGAGGGTGAGCAGCCAATCGGCTTGGAAAAGATTTTCATCCGTTATGCCACCGTTGATGAGGCGCGCAACGCGCAACGCGCTCTTTCCGGCCGCCGCTTTGCAAACCGCACGGTCGTGGTCAGCTACTTGGACGTTGCCAAGTTTGAGAACGACGAGTTGGAATGAGCATAGCCTGTATCTGTGGTAACGCTCGGCGGAAGGAGAAGAAGAAGAAAAATGGAACAAAAAAATACACGAATTCAAAGCAGAAGTCTGAACTGTTCATTCATCTTCACGAGACGTGTTAGTATTACACTTTCGATTATCAACACTACCACAAGAGCATACTCCTCAAGTTCAGGGCTCGCTGACCCTCGCTATTCGGAGTGCAGGTCGTTTATAGAGAGTAAAGTCAAATTCGACTGCCTTAGCTCGATGCCAAAGGCAGAGATTGTAACCAGGCGAATTTCGAGGGCACGGCAGAAGACGCGAAGCGAGCTTGGGCTTGTGGTGCGGTCGGCAACGTGGCACTCGGCTGGATAGCAGCCTGTGCTCAAACAAGATGCAAGACATGTGAAAAGTGAGTTGAAGTCGTCGACAAATGGCTGGACCGACGAAAGCTGGGGAGCGCACCTCGGCGAAAGTGGACCAAGCCGGGGCCACCGCAGCAATGGCCTGGTTCAAACCAGCATCGTCCTCTGGCGCTTGACTGGGCTCCAGGTTGCTCACAAAGGCTGTCAGCGTTCGCTCGCAAGCCGCAAGTAGCTGGCTCGTGCTGCTGAGAACTGTATGCAAACGTCGCACCAGAGCTTCAGTTGGCAACCAAGTCTGGACATCTTGAGCACGGACTCCAACACGTTGCTCCTGGACGTTGCGAGGATACGCACACAGAGATGGTCAGCCAAAACAAGACTTTAGGGCAAACATGTTGGGCTGGAAAGGCTGGGCCTTGAACACACCAGAGATCGAAGTTCGTCCTCGACTTGAGCAATGGTGGCCTGAAGATGAGCAAGCTCAGACTCGCTGCAGGTGCCGAGGAATGAGTCGGGCAGATTGTGCAACCCCGCGAAGGGCAAATTCAAAACGATGAGGAAGACAAGCATGGGCAACAAGAACAGACACAATCTCTGACCGAGGTTGATGACCCTGGAGCTGCTGCACCAAGGCTTGCTCATCTGTCGCCAGCAGCGAGGCACCAGTGGCCCAGCTCTGCCAAATGGAACGGGATCAACAGTGTCAGAACCTCGGACGAGAGAATTCTCCTTTCTACGCGTCTCTTTTGCATATCAGTTTGCACGTTGATGGTGGTTGTATGCCACAATCAAGCCTCACCTCTTGAGACCGCGTCAAATGCTTGAGCAAATTGTAATGCTCGTGAGTGCTAATCGCACCAAAGGATGAAGAAGATGAGACACTTGTGTATGCAAAAGGTACCTGCTTTGCAAACACATCTCACCCTAGAGTGCGACCCTCGAGTTGCGTGGTCAAAAGTGTGAGGACCTGAACGCAGGCGCCAGCTTCGCCAATGGCGGGGAGCCTGTGCACTCCCAGTGTTTGTAATCGATCCAAAACTACAGCAGGCAACAAGAAGTTGCTGTGAGGTGCGTCGCTGGTGGCATAGACATCAAGACATGCCGAGTTGCAGCGCCAGTTTGAAGAGTCACACAAGAGCGATGCCATGAAACGATGGTGTGCTTGCGAATGGTACGTACAGGGAAGCTCGCTGCCATTGCTCTCGCTCGCGGGCAGGAGCTCCTCCACGAGCCACTCGACAGTTTCTCGAAACAAGACGGCATCATTAAGCACGCTACCCGGATCACGCCCAACACTTGGGCAGCTGGTTTGCAGCAAGCTCCGATGCCAATCCATGGCAATGTTTACCCAGCAGCAGCACTGCTGCCGTCGCGGGCCGCGGGCCGCTCTGCTCCTCCGCCGTGGGAAACAAAACTGAAAAAAAAAAAATCTGTTTCGAGTTCAGACAAAGTGGAAAATTAAATTTTTGCTTTTTGGGCTTATTTTTATTTTATTTTTTTCGAGTTGTTCTCCTTTTTTCTTTGCTCGAAATGTCGCGATTGGAATGGGTTCGTGGGGTGGTTATGTTCATTTGATGTAGATTCGCTTGCACATGGGGTAGCAAAGTTGGAAAGTGATCGGCGCCTGGATCTTGTCGAAGATAAGTGGGCTCAGATTGATTGATAGATAGATCGCAGAAGAGCCGATAAAGAATGAATTGGGAATCAAAACAAAACAGACAAAAGCCGGGATAACTTCAACGTCGCGCAATGTTGACATAACAAAACCAGGAAAGGAGGAAAACAAGCCACACACAGACAGACCCCAAACACGAGGACATAATGCACAGGGCGGGACCACAATCATCACGACAATAAAATATGGCTATCCTAAAACTGAAGAGGAAGAACAAATGGGAACCGATTAAGTAAAAAACAAAAAATCTCACACACAGACAAGACTTTTAGGGGACGAACAGCGTAGATGCAGCGAGAGCACGCAGAGCTCATATCATCTCGGCTTGTTCGAGTCAGACGAAGCTTGAGATCGCACACACAATCACAAAATAAGAAAGCGTCAACAATTGCTCTCTATATTGCTGTGCACTGACGATGGTTTCTTGGCCATGATCGCGACAATGTCCGAGGCAGAAAGATCGTAGGAGGCTCGCGATGCGGAGGAGTGGGGGTCGGAAACATGGTCGTCAAAGTCGTCAAAGGGGGGCAGAAGCACCGTGTCATCATGATGTGAGGTGTAACTACGCATGCTATCGCCACGCGACAGAGGAGCGGGCGTCGGGGGCATGGGTGCCGCCAGGGCCACACGTCGACTGCGCAAAGAACGGCGATAAGAGGCAATCAACATGACGGTGATGCCCACGCAGAGCGCTACGACACAGATCACTACCACGGGGACTAGTGCTATCATCCATAATCACCGAATCGAGCGTGAGGACAGCGCATACGACAAATGGGCAACGCCTGGAGCCGAGAGCAAGGACACAGGCTTACAACAACGTACCAGATGAGCGCGAGGCATTCTTATCAACCGAGCTACCCTGAGCAGGTGCAGTACTGCTGACAGGTGCTGTGGAGTCGGGCGTCACAGAGGCGACTGGAGTACTCGAGCCAACCGGCGTCCCCGGCGTCGAATCACGAGGTGAGGACCTGGGAACGGCACAGTGGGCAGCAGCAGCAGCATCACACTTTTCCTCATCCAAATTGGCTGCGGGACACTCCAGCCCCTGCCCTTGCTGAGCTGACAGGACCCGAACAAAGCGGCGGCGCGTGCAGCTGTGGGTATCGCAAAGACCCCATGGCGACCAAGCCCAGAGGCAATCTGCATCCGACCAAGGAGCGGTGCGCGCCACATAACGACGGCGCTGGAAAATGACATCGAGGCTTCGACTACGCAGGCCCTCAGACAGAGTCTGCGCCGCAGCCTCGGAGTAAAGGATGCATCGGAAAGCCAACTTATCCTCGATAAATTCGAGGGTGAGCGCCTCGGCCTCGCTGGTATGCAGGTTTAGCAGTCCAACAATGGTGTTACGCACAGCACTCTGGAACATTAAGAGAAGCTGCTCTTCTGTGTAGGCCGATGACGAGCTGGTCATCAGTGACGAAGCGTCTTCGTCAAAGTACACCGTGACCTCGTGCAGTTGTTCGTCAGTCACAGCCGTTGAGGAGGTCGTGACCAAGGTGGTCTCTGCATGGGTGGTCGATTTGGTGGAGGTGGGGGTAGAAGAGGAGGTTGACGTGGTCGCGGGAGGCGAGGACGAAGGAATATCCATGCTCGTGGTCTCAACTCGAGTAGTCGGCGCTGTTGTTGGACGTGTTGTGGTGGTTGTGGTGGTTGTGGACGCATTTGTGGATGTGATGCTCGTGGCTGGCGCAGATGAAGCCGTCGAGCCGGGAAAAGTGGCACCCGTGGCACCAGTGCTCGAGCGGCTCTGCGCTGATGTGGTTGCATTAATTACGGCAGTTGTAGTCGTGGTGGTGGTTGTTCTTGCGGTGGGTGTTGAGGTGGTCGTTGTCGAAGTGGAAACAATGCTTGCAGTGGTGGTGGTAGTAGGGGTTGTTGTGGTGGTGGTGGTAGTGGTAGTGGTCGTGGTAGTGGTGGTGATAGTGGTGGTAGTGGTGGTAGTGGTTGTGGTGGTAGCCGTAGTAGAGGTGGTCGGCAGGGTTGTGGTCGTAGTCGTCGTCGACGGAGAAGGTGTGGTGGTCGAAATGACATCGCCATCGGCAAACACGACCAAATAGTCCCAGCTATGTTTGCAACCGAATAGGAGTGAGTCACCGCGAGCAGAGTGCGATGGCCTCGACGGTGGCGCATCCTCACCTCAGAGCATATCTGGTGGTGCCGGGTAGAAGGAAGCGTAGGCAAAAATCAGTATTGGGAGCCAAGTCAAAGCCCGCGGTGGCTGCTCGAACAACGCATGGCAGGCCCGAGATGTGAGGCTGAGCCGGCCATCATGAAGTGACGTGGAGAAAGAAAAGGGGGGTGTCAAGGGAGAAGGCTGGCCATACCGGAGACATCACACGTGCAGACGCTAAAGCTGCAACGACTGCAGTCCCAAGCCAGAGCCTCCGTCTTGAGCCCATGAATGGACCAGTTGTACCTAAGTTGCATGCAGAAAATGTCATGCATGCTTTGGTCAGAAGAAAATCCTCTCAAGCAGAAACCTTGAGCAGCGGGGACAATTGACGCACTCGACGGCAACGCCAATGGTGTCAAGGGAGTGACTGGTGATTGATCCACTAAAGTGAACAGAAAACAAGATGCGAAAGCGACTGGCAGGGCTCGAAATGGTCTCGGACCGATATAAAACTTGCTCCTGCAGCAAAGTCAAACGCAGTGGAGTGGGCGAAGACGGGGTGAGGGCTTGCTACAATCTAGGAGAAAAATAAATGATGGTGGTTTGGCATTGGGAGCTGCAGTCGAGAGCAACGCACGTCAAGGCCCGAGAGAGCCAGCACTTTTTGATTATCCAAAGTAGAGATGGACACGGAGCCCGAGGAAGTGTAAGAGGGAGGGTTGCTGTAGTAGCTGAGCAGCCAATGGGAGCTTGTGGGTAGGGCATGCGAGTTCCAACGATCGTCTGCGGGATGCCACGCATGAATGGGTTAAAAGTCATTAGCACGCGTGAGGAACAACGGAAAACATTGCAAGGGAAAAAAAAGGGCAAAAAGAAAACAAATTGACGGACCGTCATTGGAAGTGGCATCAGAAAAGTCATCCGCCCAAACAAAGCCCTTGGCATAGCTGTAAAAGTGGATGCGCTGGACGACGAGTGTTTGGTAGAAGAGTTGAAAACGAAGTTGAACCTTGCGTACGCAGTAGGGCAAAGTGCCGTTTAAATGCACGTCTACCATGAGTCGCGAGATTGGAATCATGAGAACATGTGACCGCGTGATGGAGTGGCGTCCACAGATGAGGCGATTAAAGGAATGAAAGTTGAGGCGAAATCGCACAGTTGTTGGTTGGTTTGGCATCGAGAGGGAGGTGCATCCAGTTGATGTCATCGCAAGTAGCAGCAAGGGTGACGCTTTGGGAGTGACTAGTCGGGTTCGAGCTCTGCGCCCCAATGTAGAGATAGACGGGCCGGCCGATGGGGTTCAGCTTTGGGCTTGTCCAGGTCCCATCCACACCCCCGTGGGCTGCGAGCATGCACGATGGATGAGAACCCAGAAAAGGCGAAGGGGAAACGCAAAGGCAAGCGAAATAAAATATTATCAGATCCACCAAAGAGAACGGGGGTAGAGGTTTGGATGCTGGCAAAGGGAGGGACACCATGGGTCTAGCCAGCTCCGAGCGCCAGACCGACCGTAGAGCGTGCAATCGTTGTAGGCGGAAGAAATGAGTTTGAATTGGCCATAATCGTTTGCAGAGCTGTTGACCTCGCCGGTACAAATGGTAGAAAAGGCGTCCAAAACAGTCGAAAATTCACAGCTGGAGCCCCAGAAAGGGAGGGGGCAGGAGCAATATGACTCGGAATCTATTGAAAAAAAAAAAAAAAAAAAAAAAGCGGCGAGCAAGCGCCACAGTGAGAAGGAGGTGCGAGGGGCGAGGATCTTCTTTGCATATCTTGTAGCAGCGATTTGGAGATCACACTCAACGGAGGCAGATGCGAGCGGGGACTGACGTTCATTGTTGCCCTTCCAAACAAGGCTTGTGACACCATTGCAAGAGCCGTGATTGGTGTTATAATCATTGGCGGGAGCCATGGTTGGGTGGCTAAAACTTTGACCGCTCGTTGGCGGGGTAAGTGTTGTGGGTACGATATTCTGCGAATTGGAACCATCACTATCATCGCCATCATCACCATCACCATCGTCGTGCTTGTCGCCAATCACGGCAAGGGACAGGATGACGAGCAAGAGGAGCGTGCGAAGCAGGGCACCGCATGCACCAAATGCACGACGATGAACCATGGTGGCAGGTCGTCGTACGAGTGCACTCAAAGAAGAAGAAGAAGAGAAGGAAGAGGAGGAGGAGGAGGAAAGTGAGGAAAAACAAGAAAGTGGGCGTTGGGCGATGGGCCGAGTAAGTGGACGCGCACGGTGCTGATATTGTTCAGAAGCGTTCGAAACGTGACCAAAAGTCACGAGGGCTGGATTTTGTGAAAACGACGAGCGATCAGATGAAATGGGCAAGCAGCTCTCGTGATTGATGTGGAGATGGGCGCCTGGTAAGCCGCCAAAGGCCTCGGCGCGCCTGCGATGCGGCCCAGATGGCGGAAAGCGGAACAAGCCCGCAAGCCGGGCCAAAGATCGCGCGCCGACTCTGGGTCGACGCCTCCCACCAATGCAACAAATCCAAGGTTCAAACGGGTGACACCTACACCGCAGAGCAATGGGCAAATGAGCTCCAGCGATGTCCTTTCGAACCCGACGCCTGCCCTCGCCCTCAACGGCAGGTCACGGCAGGTTGCATTTGAAGGCGCAGACACGAGCAGTCAAGGCGCGGCGGGACGACGCGGAGCGAGACCCGAGCTCGCGCCAACAAACCGAGCAATGGGAAAATATTCCACAAAGAGAGAGAGAGAAAGAGAAAGGGGGAGTGAGACAGAGATAGAGAGTGAAACGATGACAGAAGAAGAGAGGGAGACTGACAGAGAGCGTTTTGACAAAGAGTTTGAGAGGGATACAGAGAGAGAGAGAGAGAGATTCAGAGAGATATGCAGAGAGAGAGACAGAGCCAGAGCTAAAGCCAGAGATAGAGCCAGGAGACACAGTCAGGAGAACAAAGAGATCTCTCGCTTGATTCTTTTGTCCCTTCGTGTTGGCGCCATCTCGACCGGTCGGAGAAAAAGTCTGACAACCCCATTCTGACAAGTGCCGCGACGTCGCCATTCGCCGTGACAGTTGGTAATAGCTACAAGCTGACCGGAGCAAGGACAGGCGCACCCTACAAACGCGAGTTTGGGGACAACCCACAATTGCCCAACATATCCACCCGGTGACATCGCTGCATCGCGACTCTTCATCTCAGCGAGAGAGGTAGACAGATAGAGAAGACAGATCAAGAGAGTGTGTAGACGAGAAAAGCACACATCAGCAACATTCACGCTCTGATCAACTTTCACGCTCTGATTATTAAAAGACCATCTTTAAAATTGAAGTATTGTCAGATAAATAAATATCAAGTTTTGTCAGACAAAAGAGGCCCTGACGCGGCCAAAAGCGCGCCGGCGTCGGTCATTTGATCTTGTCCTCCCCCTCCCGCCTGGGTTTGACTTGATCAATCTCTCCCCCGCCCTCCCTCTTTTTTTTTTTGGAACATGACGCCAATGGTGGAGTGACAAGGCAGGTGTGTCCGAGTGGCTGGGTTGGGTCTTGTTCATTTGGCTCCCAGTGAATATCATACGCTGGTGCTGGTGGTCGTGTCGTTCGAGGCGTCATCACGTCCGGCTCACTTGCTGCATTCCACAGTACCTGAAAAAAATACTCCACAGCAACAGACCAGAGGCCTAGACTCGAAGCTTTGTGGGACGACCCTCGAGCTCTTCCAAAGATCAAGATGGACGTGGAAGCGTATTGTGCCTTTTGCTTTGACGTGCTTGCCTGGAAGCTCGAGCAAGCTGGTCAACCCACGCCGCCGAGCAGTACGGCGGGACAATCATGGTGCGCCTCTTGAGTTTGGGTCGGCTGGATGGTACCGCATTTGTTCTCCTGACGACAGGTCCCTTGTTCTTGTCCGCAGCCCTCTTTTTGTGACGTGGAAAAAGTGGAGCTCCAAGCATCAAGAATATGATCTTCGGGGCTGTATCGGCACGTTTGCCGCGCAACCGCTGGCAGAAGGGCTCCAGACTTTTACCTGTTCCAGGTTCGTGGAGCCAGCTGATATCCATCAAACCACGGGCGCTGTACCTGCCCTTGCAATGTTTGATTGCCTCCTTCAGTTTCTTGCTTTGTTATGCTTGCTTTCAAGTGACCCGCCCTCACCTTGCTTGTTATCCATGCCGAGAACAGCGCATTTCGGGACAGTCGCTTCCCACCCATTCGCGCCGACGAGCTTCCTGCACTACAGTGTGGTGTCTCCCTCCTCACCAACTTTACCCCCGGTGCCGACTATCTCGATTGGGAGGTAAATGGCCTGCGCATCTTTGACTGACACTTGGCTTGCCCATCCAACGCAGACCACACTCAACCTCTGTCCTACGTTTGCCGGGCCACTAGGTGGGCCGTCACGGCATTTGGATCGAGTTTCCCTTGGGTCGTGACACAACGACGGCCACCTACCTGCCCGAGGTAGCTGCTGAACAAGGTTGGTGCTGCCAATGTCTTCTGACTGCTCTTCCCAGCCCTGGCTTGTCGGCGATTTGACCGTCATCTTTTCGCGCTCGTTGCCCCGACTCAGGCTGGACCAAGGAGGAGGCCATTCAGTCGCTTCTACGCAAGGGGGGACACCGTGGGCCAATCACACCAGAACTGCTGCAAGCCATCAAGCTCACGCGCTACGAGTCCCAAAAGGCCTCGTTGAACTACGATGACTGGAAACGCCGACGTGCAACCCCATAACTGCGCACAAGCAACCACTGTCCGTCCCACCCATCACCACCGCCTTTTTGGCTGCCAGCCCATCCAATCTGAACTGTTCTGTATAAAATAACTGAAGTGCCGTGCCCTTCTTCCTTCTGCTTTGATGATCTATGGTCATCTCCAGCTCCTCCCTGTCGGCCTGTCCATCTGCTGAATTGGTTCCACAAAGAAAAGTAAACACGTAACCACACACACACACACACACACACACACACACATATGTACCACACGGTCTGCTTGATCTCATTCGCTGTCTCTGTTCTTGTCAGTCTTTTCCAGTATATCTCTGTTTCTCGCTTACTTTTCTGTAACGAATGGTTTCCTCACATCACCATTTCTCTGACTTTTTTAAACGTTTTTGTCATCTCTCTTTCTTCTGATCGGAGACTGCACGACCTCGTGTCTGAAGCAGGCGGATCAAGGTGGGGGAGGGTAGTAGCTTGATTAGGGGGAGGCATAGCAGAGGCTTGTCCTGGGGCTGGTGCGCGTGCGCGTGTCGCGCTGCGATTGTGTGGGGCGGGGGTTGGGGTTTGGCCGTGCCGCACGCACGTTAGAGAACTCCCGGACAACATGGCACGACACTATTCCATCGTCTGCGGGATGCAGATTGCCCGCTTGGATCTCAAGGCCAGCTTGTACCTGGCGGCTGTCCTTGTGCAACTGGGCGTTCTTCTGGGCTCGCTCATATACTCGGCCGCGCAGAAGCACTTGCCTCTTCGCCGTGAAGTGGACAAGGATATGCTGGCCTATGAAATTGCGACGGCGTGGACCGTCTTTTGCGTCATGTTCCTGGTTTGCGACGGCCTCTTTCTGGAGAAGAGGCTGGCCATCTACATGTTTGCCGGTAGCTCCATCCTCATGGGCGCCTACCTCCTCTATGATTATTTTGAGGGCACGGGTGGAGTGACCCAACGCCTCTTTCGCCTCATCCTTGGCTGCTTGGCTCAGCCCCTGAACGTCGTGGGCGGCCTCGTCGTCGCCGCCAACATGCAATGGCTCGAGTTTCACATTGTTGGCGGTGACGAAGTTCAACTTCGCGCGTACCGCCTCCTCCTCGATTTCGACTGCTGGATCAAGGTGGACTTTCTTGTGGCCGTCTCCCTCGTCATTCTGGCTGCCTTCCCGGGCCTGCTTTCTGACCTTCAGATTGGCTTGTGCGTGGCCGGCCTCATCATTTCCCTGCTCTGGCTCATTGTCGCCTTTGTCTTCACGCGCTTTGAGAGCCGTGTCTGGGGTTACATCTTTTTTCTTTGGGTGCCCATCGAGCCCATGTTTGTCGTGTACAAGTTTGTCGACTTTGCCCGGGATGATACCCACAGCGACTTGACATTTTACCCCATCCTGATCCTCGGGGTGGCCGCTATCCTCATCCGCATCCTCGTCATCGTCTATGCCATTCTCATCTGGCGTCGCTTCGGATCGGGCTTGCGGAGCGCCCTCACCGCCTACCGCCATGAGGCCGATAAAGCGCCCTTGGTCACAAATCAAGCCCAACAGACCACACCAAACTATACGACTTTTAATGCCCCTGCCGCAGCACCGCAGACGGAGGCCAATGCGGCCCTCCTCACTGCACCAGCCGTCGAGGACCGCTGGGGTAGTCTATCCTACTCGACCAACGATAAACCGCTCGTGTATGACGACGACGACGATGAAGATTGAGGCACGTCCACAGCTGTACGAGCCGTGTCATCACGCAAACCCCCGTAGATCCTGCCCAGGCCTCTTCTGATGTCTGCTTGCCTTGAGTTTATTTCTTCTTTTTATTTCTTTCTTTTTCTTGTTTTTTTTTTTTTTTCTTTCTGGGTCCACTCCCGCGTCTTGCCCGCTTTCCTCGTCTACATCTGCCCGCGGTAGTCGCTGCTTGTTTCATATTGAATGATGTCTATCGACGGGATGTTAATTTTTGCCCGCAGCAGAATGCCGGGGTTGTGTGTGTGCCGTCCATGGGGCGCGAGTCGCCACAACAAACGATTTAAAACCTTAAAACCACACGAGATTCTCTAAGTCTGGGACACTGGAAAAAGGGAGGAAAGCAAAGCCGAGATGGTCAACAGGCAGGTCCAGGAAAAGGGCTAACCAAGGAGCATGCAATAAAATGCTTGCGCTGAGGGCCAGTCGTTCTTGTGCACCAACAACACCCAGCCTGAGCCGGCTCGCCAACACCTTTTTAGCCCCAAGCACATGAACGCAGGACAACAACAAAGGAAAAAAAAAAGTCAGGTTTGTGCCCTCAGGGCAAAATAATCAAGGCCGCTTTGTAGGCCGAGGGGCCCAGACAAAGCCAAGGCTGGCTGTGGCTTGGGCTTAAGCCGTGACAAGGTGAAGGTCGGCGTCATCATCGCTTTCCTCACAGAAATCCTCCTACTCATGGATTGATAAAGAGCGGGCAAGCGTGACATGAGCGGTCAAGCGCCCTTCAAGGAGGTAGGGCAAAGTAGCAAACATGCAAGTTGGGCGGTTGCACCAGCACACCCGACGTACCATATCATAAATGACACGCACAAGCAAGGAACAGGATGGGCATCGTGCAATATCCTCGCCATCCATCAGCTCCTCCTGCCAAGTTCATTGTACAAAAGTTCATGCACACGTGAGCTTGTCGCTGAGCCGACGGTCACAAGGCTTGCACCATCGGCACCCAAGTCATCTGCGCTTGGCCCGCAGGACGCCGGCATCTGTACGTGGGACACACCTTTGTGATGCGGAAGAGATCGCCGCATGGACAGGGATACGTGTACGATTCTGTGTCTTCGTCATAGTCAAAGTCCTCAATCTCAATCTCGTCGTGAAACACAGACATGCTGTCCTGCTGTCGTGTGACTCGCTTGTCTCCAGTAAGCCACCACCTCCACGCACCCCTTGACCCGCCGCAAAACGACCCGCCGGCGCTGACCCTCGACCACCAATCGATACCCGTCGACGCACCACCCGCGTCAACCAGAAAAAAAAAAAGTTTCAAAAATAAAAAAAAAATACAAAAAAGGAAGGTCACGTGTGTGTGTGTGTGTGTGTGTGTGACGCGAGTTATCATCATCAATCAAAGTTTTCTGACAACTGGCTCTCAATTGTCAGCATCCTTAATAAAACGATAGCGTCTTTCACACACCAACCCGTGCCATTAAATTTATTTTTTACATTTGGTGTCTCTTTGGCGATAACGATGAAGATGATCATCAGGACACCACATTTGGTGTCAGTGGTCCGATTTGTTCGTGTCATCTGTGTTGTCGGGAGGAGGATGCCCGAGTCCATGATGATGTTGCAAAACGAAACGTCGAGCAATCGAATGAGCAGTTTTTGGTCAGAAATCGTTCAGTGGTTTGTGGCAGTGACGACCTCCGGAATATCAGACCGCGATGCCGCGCCCAAGTGCGAAACTCGCGCCGGGCGCGATCGTCACAGCTAAACCAGGCGTGCTGCGCCCAAGGGATGCGGCCCGTGCACTTCCAACTGACCACTCGAACCGCGTTCAGGAGCTGCGCGTGGTGCAGATCCGGCCGGCGACGCAGGGCCGCCGGCCGGGGCTTGAGCTTTGCCTTGCCCATGCGTCGAGTCGTGTGATGTTTGTGGCCAAGGCTGGGCTGTGACCTATGTTCGACAAGGCCCGACCTTCAACGATGCCAGCCGTGGTAATGATCCCGACACCAACCTCTCTTCAGCTCCAAGTACCGTGGACGCCACAACCCACGCAGCGAGTACCGTCGCACCTCATGACCGGACGTGGCTAGATGAGCAAATGGCGCTTTTGGATAACGGTCCAAAGGATCCGGCAGCCTTCGACTTTGAAAGAGTCACATCTGATGATGAGGATGTCTACCCAGCCCAGGAGCCTCCCGCAAGTCCGTTGCCGCAACACATCACTGACACGGCAGCACAGGCGGCTGCGCGGGCTATCGCTCCCCCGCACGCCCTCATTACCCGCGCAGGAGAAGAGTGGTCGCGCCTGGATGACCCCGTAGTTTTTGCTGAAATTATACCACGGTTTTCCGACCGTACTAAAGAGGATGGCATCGCTTACTCCCGTCGTCCTTTCCTGCGAGCGGATGCAGCTGGCTTTTCAACGCCGGAAGAGCTTCACCGAGCCTTTTTGCCGACGCGGATGCTAGATCGAGTTCTCAAGGCTACCAATCAGAGGTTGGCGCAGGCGGGACTCGACACCATGACAATGACCGAGCTCCGCATGGTCGTGTACGTTATTCCCCAGCTCATGAGTCAGTCCTTTGGCATGAAACGACATGAGCTGTGGGAGCCTTGCGAAAGCGAAAGCCCCTACCTCCCAAAGCCGACCCTCCGCAACACCAACCTCACACGTCAACGAGTCGATGAAATCATGGCCCAATTGCACATTGGCGTCGACCCACCAACCGATGATCCGTTGGCACACGTTCGTGCCCTTCAAGAACTGTTCAATGAGGACGTGACCCACGTCTTTGCGCCGGGTTGCGTAACATGCCTTGACAATAGCACGGTCGCCTTTCACAACGAACGTGGCCCAAGTTATCTGGACCTGGAGCGCAAGCCTCACCCAAAAGGGTTTGAATATCACACCCTTGCAGACGCAGACACCGGTGTCATCTTCTACGTTGAACTCGTGGAAGATTCATTCACGCCAGCAGCTCGGCAAGCATCTCTTGAACATCCGGAGGGGAGGATGGCGGGCTTGATGATGCATGTCAAAGCCTATTCAGAGGCAAGGTCATGTCATGGTGATGGACTCGGACTTTTGTGATCTCAAAGGCCTTGCCACCCTTACCCGGGTGGGCGTCTATGCCTCGGCTGTAGCAAGGGAAAATACTCACTGGCCACAGGGCGTGCCAGGCGAGGACATTGACCGAGAAGTGGCCGCCAAAAAGCTTTCCATCGGATCACTGCACACCGCTCGGCGCATCTTGAACTCAGAAGGAACTCGCGTTGCTGTGAATCTGTATTGTGTGCCTCACCCAGACTGCACTCTAATCTTGGCTTCGACATATGGCTCAGGCAACCCGAAAGAACGCTTCGACCTGCGTCTTCAAACCGGTGACACGATCCGAATTGAGCGCAATGTGCCCTTGCAGCACTACTACCACGCCAGGCACGCTGTGCATCACAACAACTATACTCGCCTCGGCCGTAATGAGGGCATGGAGAGAGCTTGGGCGCCCAAAAGTATAGCGCTGCGCCATTTGGCATTTTTCCTGTCTTTGGCTGACGCCAATGCCATCCGCTTTTGGAACTACACGCATCCGACACAACGTATGACAGCCAAAGAGTTTCAAGCTCACTGGTGCCTCCAAACGATTCGAGAATACGAGCAATCTGCTCCTCAAATTCGATCAGCACGCAAGTTCGAGCCCCGAGCACCGCTTGGAACACACAAGTTTGAGCCCCGAGCACCGCCCGGCACTTGCGCTGATGGAGTTGTTCGACAGAGCAAGACCAACAACCAGCACTACCGTCGCGTCGTGTGTCGAGGCAAGGGATGCTCTGCCCGGGTAAGAAGCCGATGCTCGTGCTCGGCCACCCTTTGGCTTTGCCACGACTGCTGGCTCGAACACGTGTTCGATGAAGCACCATGAGAAAAGGCCCGATAACCCGGCGTGCTGATTGACCCGACGAGTATTCATAGCACGCCCAATTGGACGTTCAGAGGTCAGTCGCGCAAGGCCCAAATGCAAAAGGGTGTTTTTGCCAGGCTTTTCTCATCAGTCAGTAGGTCAGAGTGTAGTGCCGAGTCTCCACTTTGCCTGGTTGCTTTTTTGCTACAAGCAGCTCGAGCGTCACACGTCCAAGTTGCCCATGCCATTCCCATGCCATTCTGCTGTGACGTTTGGGTGTTAGAATTAAATTTGTTTGCTTAACATGTTGTGAAAACATCAAGGTCTCATTCACCACCAACGCACACGCACGCCACTCGTGTCAACGATGCATGGTCAACATTTACAAGCGCTGTATCACTAGGGATACGCTGTTCTGTACGGGGTCCACACTCATGTAGAGTACCTTGAGCACGTCCTCCAAGCCGAGCCGTGTCACGCTCACGTCTGTTATGCACAAGCAGAGTCGAGCAGGCGGCAATGAGATCTGACTCGATATCACAGGCAGACAGGCCGCTGCCTTTGGCGCTCTGCTCAAAACGTACTGTTAATCTGCCATATCACATCGTTGATCTTCAAGCCCATGCACAACGCGGGCTCTCGGATGTGGGCAACAACTGCCGTACCCTCCCGCCCCGTGACGGTCGGAGTACCTTCGGCCAAGTCAAAGCCAAAGCCCACTTGCTCTGATTTGATGACCGTGACCACAAAGGTCTTTTGATCTCGGTTTCTAACATCCATGGCAAGGTAGTGAGGGCTTGAAAACAGCAAACCGGCCCAACTTCAACACGCCAAACTTTTCAAAAGATGAGAGCAGAGACAGCAACAATGACAAAGATGGTGAAAAGGGTCAAGGCAAAGGATAGAAAAACAGAACAACGGTCACAGATAGACCAGGGACAAAGGTCAGAAGCCGGGTAGGAACACGGAAAAAACTTACAAGACTTGCTCCTTTGCATCGGCAATTGCACTCATCCACTGGAGCTTTTCTGCTTTCGATGGGCAATACACGATATACCACTTGTTCTGTCGCAAAGCCAAACAACACAATTAGACTGTCACATGTCATTGCGTACACCGATGACCAAAGGTAGATGCTTTCACAATGACCGACTTTGGCCAGATTTTTGATGTTGAACGCGTTCCGAATGAGCTTGCCGCCACAAGATTCAGCGTCGTCTTGAATGTCTGCCAATGCCAGCCGTCACATGATGAGCATTTTGGGAGACAATCTCGAGGCTCGTGCTTTTCCTCGGGCAAAAACAAAACAAAATTATTGCTTCGTGTCCACAGGGCACATACCCGTGTAAAATAGATCATTGACAGGTAGTGTTCCCTTGAGGGTCAGGAGGCCCTTTTCACGCTTACAGTATACCAAAACCTTGGGAAAGAGGTAGAATTCACGGCACTGGGCCTTGCCCTTGCTGATCTTCATCATTTGTCCGTGGTGCAGCAAGTTCATGTTGATCCGATGACCAGAGCCATCTGCCGATCAACAAACCCCAAACTGGTGAAATTACAGCACCCACGTACGATCGGAGGGAACCGTCCACTTTCTTTCTGGCGAAGCAAGCAAGATTCATACCGGACCAGCCACTCAGCTGGGTCTTAAGCTGTTCAAGGTCATCCAACAAGCGCGCGGCTGGATCTCGCGCCAGCTCCAACCGCGTCGCGACTGATGGCCGTCGCCCCTGCACCAAAAGGAGCGCACAAAATCCATCAGAGGCATGCAATATATTGAAGTGCAGTGAAGCCCGGCCGTTTTCAAAACAACAGAACAAGAAGTGAAAAAAGGGCGGGGGGAAGGAGGCGGAGGGGAAGAAAGAAAGAAAACATGTGGACAAGAAAAAGAGGGAAAGAGGTGTGGCCAATGGCCAAAAGTTCGAGCAAGATACACTCACAACAGGGTGTCGTGCAACCGAGGTTGACCATCGGCGGGATAATTCCGGATCTTGATCGGAACTGGGACCATCACGACCTAATTGGACGATGCCTAAGAGCAAGACACATCGGTCACAATTGTTGACATTGTGAGAGGCACAATAAGCAAGAAGAGGTGCTCTTGACTTCCTATGACGAGGAGATAAAGGTATCGACGTACTGCCTCGACGTTGGCCCGGGAGGACAGCCATGGACTTGGGCCGGGGCTTGCGCGCCTTTTTGCCTGCTGCTGGAGGCGCATCCGGCGGTGGCGGGGCGGATCGGCGAGGACGCGAGGACATGGTGCTCGCGGTGCGCGTGAGCTCTTCATCCATCGCGTTGCCCTCCTCCGCTTGTGGCGGGGGAGGAGGTGGCGGGGTGGGAATGGCTACTTCAACACCCCGCAAGCTGACTGTCGTGCGCCGTGTGCCCAGCTGAGGTGTGGCGGACGAAGAGACGGTGCCAGGCTCATGGCCAGCAGTTGGTGGAGCCAAAGGCGCATCCTCGCTGGTGGGTGGTGGTGGAATAACGAAGCGCACATTCCCACTTGGGGATACAATGGGCATGGTTTGAGGGAGGCGAGCTGGAGGTTGGTTTGCGGGAAATCCAGAAGGCACAGCTGTGGCCGGAGTTGGGCGTGTAGATGGTGCTTGAGGTGGTGCGCCGGTGGGCATTTGAAGAGGATGACTTGCTGGGACTTGGGGCGGCATCTGAGCAGGTGCAGGCGGGGCGGGTGATGGTGTCAGAGTTGTTTGCATGGAGCGCGTTGGAGGCAACGGCCGATTGACGGCTGCACGTGAGATTGTCGAAGAAGGTTGGTTCGGAGGCTGCGCTGGAGGTTGCGCTGGGGGCTGCGCGGGGGGCTGCGCGGGGGGCTGCGCTGGGGGCTGCGCTGGGGGCTGCGCTGGGGGCTGCGCTGGGGGTTGTGCCGGGGGCTTGGCGGGTGGCTGCGCTGGGGGTTGTGCTGGGGGCTGCGCTGGAGGTTGCGCTGGGGGTTGTGCCGGGGGCTTGGCGGGTGGCTGCGCTGGGGGTTGCGCTGGGGGCTGCGCTGGGGGCTGCGCTGGGGGCTGCGCTGGGGGTTGTGCTGGGGGCTGTGCTGGGGGCTGTGCTGGGGGCTGTGCTGGGGGTTGTGCTGGGGGCTTAGCGGGTGGCTGCGTCGGAGGTTTGGCAGGGCTGCTTGCAGGAGGCTTGGCTGGTGGTTTTGTCGGTTTAACAGGTGGAGCAACAGCGGGCTTGGCGAGTGGCCGGGGGGCCACAGTGGGCGATGCACCAGCCGTTGAAGCGGGTTTGGGTTTGGCTGCGGTAACCGGGGGAGTGACAACTGCTTTTTTGGCAGCCACTGCGGGAGCTGGAGGCTTGGCTGAGATAGGGGCGGGCGATGCCTGCTCGGATGAAGGCATGTATGATGCAGTTTCACCCGTGGTGGGTGGAGTTTGTTGCTCGGGATCCACGAGTGACACCGCACTACCCTTCTGTTGAGGAGTCTTCTTAAGCTTAGCAAACGCCTGCTGAATTTGGCCCAAGGCAGGGGGGGCAGAATCATTTGCAGTTGCTTTTGCTGGGGCTGGTGATGCACGCTTCAACTGCACGCCCTTGAGGAGGTCGGCAGTCACAGTACCAGGACTGGCGGCAGGCGGCTCACTGGGCGACCCCTTGGAGAGTGAGGATGCTTGTTGTTGCAACGCAGCTGCCAGCCCACCCGCACTCGCGGGACCAGATGAAGGCCCACCAAGCATAGGAGGTACGGCAGGGGGAGCGGGGGGCGCAGGTGGAGCAGCAGGTGGCGCAGGTGGGGCTGCTGGTGGAGCGGGCGGCGCAGGTGGGGCTGCTGGTGGAGCAGCAGGTGGCGCAGGTGGGGCAGCAGGTGGGGCAGCAGGGGCAGCAGGTGGGGCAGCCGGTGGGGCAGCAGGTGGGGCAGCCGGTGGGGCAGCCGGTGGCATGGGTGGTGCGGTCGATGGTCCAGAAAGCACGGGTGGTGTGAATGAGGGTTGTGCGGCCTCGGCGCTGATCATCGGCCCACTCGGGCCTCGCCGGACTTGGCTAAATATGTCCGTTATGTATTCATGACCATCTGGAGCCTGCGCAGCCACGGCACGTTCAGCATATCCATCGGAGGCTGCCCCAGTAGGTGTGCTGGGCTCCGGCTCACGCGGCGGCAGCGGAGGTGCTTCTAGTTCCAGGCCACGCGCAGGCAACACCAGATCGGCGGAAGACTCAAAGTCATCATCAGAGCTATCGCTGCCATCGTCTGCGGTCTGATCAAATGTCATAACGTTGCGTGCGTCTGCACTTTGTGTCTTCTGAATGGGCTGCCCTTGGTCATCAAGCCGCTCCACGTAGGCTGCGGGAAAGTGGCCCACGTTGCCTGCCAGTCCCCACAAGCGAGCCGTTGGGTGAGGAGGAAAGAGATTTGACCGTGCTGATGCAACGGCAGCCAGCGGGATGATAGGATGCATGACAACTGTAGCACGGACGTACCATCGTGAACGCCTGACCACCACTCAGGGTCGTTGGAGCGAACCACACGAATGATGTCATTGGCTTGAAAGCTGAGCTCGTCGTCATCCTGGGCTTGAAAGGCATAAAGAGCACGCGCAAAAAAGGTCTCCATCTATAAAACGGGTGCAAAGTGAGAACAGAATTGCCATGAATGAAGAGCACGTCGAACAGCAGGCGAGACGACATGATTGGCCCCGGCAAGTGTCGTACGGTCATGAGGTTGTTGCTGGCAAGAGTGGCGTTGCTGGTTCGGCGAAATATGAGCACACCCTCTTCCTCATCGGCGCGATCCTCCACCTCCACATCCACACTGGCATCATCACACTCATGGCCTTCATTGGCAGGGGCTGACGTTGATACTGGTTGCGGGGCACTGGCTGCAGCGGCAGGTGGAGGTGGTGGTGGAGCCGCCGCTGGGGGAGCGGTTGGCGGGGCTGCGATAGGTTGAAGCCAGGTTGCAGGGAGCCAGTGGCCAACCCCTTCGTGTGTCGCCATGCACCAACCATTCTGGGTATCGTGCACCTCGACGAGTGCGTGATCTGGCAATACCACCCCCTCAGGGGTGGTGTATGCGGCGAGGAGCTGCATCAACTGCATGGCTGATGCTCGGCTCAAGGCCAGCAGCGAACGCCAGATCACGGCAACCTCCCAGCCAGCAAAGCACCAGGAGGCGGACGAAGCAAATCAAAGACTCGAAGCTGGGGCACGTAGAGGCCGGGCAGGCTCAAGAGTATCTGAGCTCCATCGAGTCCCCAGCCCACCTGCAAAAGCCCGAGGCCGGCTGACGGAGAAGAACCAAACCAAACACACCCCACAAATTCCAGCTGCATCCGCCGCTTCACAAAGCACTCTGCCTCGTAGAAACACTGAGCGCACCCCCAAGAGCACCTGTTCACCGCTTCAACACGGACGGGAAGGATGCACAAGCGGGTCTGGTCTCAAGGTCGCGGCGGATCCAGTCGAGTGCTTGCGCCCAAGAGAGAGCGCCAAGGGGGGCAAGTTGCTTCGATCAAAACTACAGTTTTCAACAATCCAGTTGGCTTCGCTTCCGTCTTTGTTCTGCTTGTGTGAAAACGCAGTACCCGAAGACAGTGACCATAATTATTATAATCACAGGATGCGAATGCAGTGATACGTGTTGAAAGTAAAGTGTGCTAAATATCACACATTCGTATAGAGCCGGCGACCTTTCGCGTCTCTCTCTCTCTCTCAAAACTTGGCGCGCGACGCCGCAACGGCACAAGAGCCTCGACTGGACTCCCCTTGTGGCGGGTGATTTCGGCCGCTGAAAGGCAACTGCATGACGAAGGCCTTCGGGTTATTGGGTTTTGAAGGGCGTCTTTTGTTTTTTTTTTTATTCGTCGAGATCGACGACTTTATAAAGCTGCTCGCCACTGTCACTTGACCCGTCGGCTCATCAGGTCGGTCGTCAGCTTACGCGCGTCAGATCTGCGCCCCAGATCCCACCGACGCTCAGCCTTGGCTTGCCTGCGTGTCCATTGATACGCTTTGCACCATCAGTGAATCCTTGACTCCATGCGGCAATTTGTGATGGCGCGTTTTTACAGGTCTTGATAATCCCAGCACCATGAGCGCGACGGGCGCGGCCAGCGAGCACCCCGATGCTCGCGTGGATCCCAGCCCACGCCGCCGGCTCTTCAAAGTGAGTATCGCAAACGGGCCTTGAACCTTCATTCGTGTGGCAGGGCTTTGAGCCAGCTTGACTCATTAAAATGGGTTTGATTCATAGTTTCGCATTACCAAGCTCGGCGATGAAGTGCTTTCAGTGCGAAAGAATAGCACGAGCTCACGCCGTCAGAGCTCCGCCAGCAGCGCCATATCCTCGCAGTCGCTGGCCCTCAACGCCGAAGAAGCCACCGGGCCGTCTCCACCACCGGGGGGAAGCTCGCCGCAAACGTCCAAAAAACGGCACAGTCTTGTTGATGTTTTCCGACGCAAGAGTCGCCCGTCGCTTCCCGTCATTGAGGCAAAGCTGGAAGCTGCCGACTCGGACCGCGTCTGTGCTTCCCCGGACGCAAATGCTTCACCCTCGCCTTCCCCCGCACAGCAACCAGACTCTCATTCTACCTCGCCGAACCTCAATCCCACCATGACCACGGAAACACAGCCAACTGATGGAAATGATGCTTCACCCGGAGCTTCAATGGCAACGAGCACCTCACCTGCAGATCTCGACCCCGCCGGCGACCCATCCAAGTCACCTTTTCTTCGCCGAGCCGTGTCTGGTCAATTGACAGCCGCACAACGCGCCTCGATTCGCTCGTTACGCATGTCCAAGCGAGCTTCGCGCCCCTCACTTCACCAGGCTGGCTTTGTTCCGGTGGCTGGCCCTTGCATGCGACGTGATGATTCTTCCACCACAGGTATGGACTGCATTGTCTCAGCATAACTATATTTGGCAAAGCATACATGTACCCGCCCTTGCCGCCCTCGCACCCCTTTGCGTTTATACTTTTACTGCCCCAGCTTCCACACATGGGAGCTATGACGGCCTCCCTCACCACCTTTTTGCATGGCGGGTCTTCCTTCCTTTATCGACGGAGTAGTGACGGCACGCTCACCCATGCCCGCTCGGTCAGCCCTTGCCCGCTCCAGTGGTGCCCATCGGAGTCGTGGACGCAAGGTTGTTTCTGAAAGCTCCCAGTTTGACTCGATTCGGCGCCGAGGCAGTTTTTCTGACTTGCTCAGCGATGCTGGCCCCACATTCTCCTCTGGCATGGCGGCCCAACCGCGCTCCCGAGCCACTTCTCATCAGCCAGCATCTCGGCAGCCTGATGAGTTGGCAGATGCCGCCCGTGTTCCTTCAGAAGGTAGTCGAGCTGAAGCCAGCCGCGAAGTTTTTACACCGACTTCACCCCAACCGGATCCCGACAACGCCGGCAATGTAACCGTGCCCTTGGACGAAGAGCGCCTCAATGCTGCACGAAACGTCAGTTATGATTATATCCTTGCTTCTGGCAGCGCACCGCTTACAGCCTGCAAAGCCAAAGCCAGCCGCTTGTTTTGACTCCTCATTTTCTTGGTGTTCATTCTCTTATTTGGCAAATCACCTCGTCCAAAGTTTCGACATAGCTGGCCATTGCTGGAGCAGCCCGATGTGCAGCCTCTTGTGGTTCAACCTGGTAAGCACGGTTGGCCCTCCCATTCCTGACCTGCCAACCCGTGTCGTCGTCCCACCTATGCTACCTACACCGACCCTTGCTCATTCATTTTTATTGTTTTATTCTTGGTAGTGGCCTCGGGTACAGCTGTGTTTCGCATCACCGATCTCGACATTGGCAGAGAGTTGGGCCAGGTTGGTATTTGTGATGAAAAGCAATACGTGCCATCTCGAAACAGAGGCTGTGCCACTCTTCAAGCTCAGCTGCGCTTTCTTTGCTTCTTTTAGGGCTTCTACGGTCGCGTTTTGCTTTGTCGACACAAATTCACTAACGAGGAATACGTTCTCAAAGAACTGACGCGCTCGTACGTGGCCCTCATCCCTACAACTGCGATGGTTTTGACACAGTTTTTCAATCTTTGTTGCCAACTTTCCGACCGTTTGTTCAAGTCGTTGTGCTCCGTGTGAAACCTGGAAAGCTCACCTCACCTTTTGCAGGGATCCCGAGGCTCAGGCCAAATTTGTCCAGGAAATGTCCCTGCTCAAAAGCCTGTCGCACCCCAACTTGGTCAAGTTCATTGGCCTCTTTTATCGAGAAGAACGCGTACGTTTGTTTGGCGGTCACTCCTTGCGCTATCCATGGCCTTTTCCCCAGGCCTGCGATTGAGTTGCCATCGAGCTACGCTTCGTTGAAGGTCCTCACCAATGATGTTGTGATTCTTTTCCTTGGCCCATGATTTACATACAGTTGCACCTTGTGATGGAATTTGTGGACAATGGTACTCTCAAAACACTCTTGGAAACTTCCAAAACTCCTCTCTCTTGGGGTCTACGGTACGCCGCGTGCAGTTCGGAGACCTGCCAACACCGAGTTTGTTTCCTTGTCCCCCTCTCTTTTCTGTCTGTTTTGTTGTTCAACCTTGACCTTGGTTGGGGGCTTGATTGGCAAACACAGCACCGAAATGGCTAATGACATTGCCAGTGGCATGGCCTGTCTCCACGAGAGATCCATCATCCATCGTGACCTGAAGACCGGTGTGTTTCGCCTGTCCTTTGCCACAGTTCGTCATGCCTGCTTCTCATCCATGTGGGCGGCGCACCTTTTCTCTGACCTTCCCATGTCCAGAAAACTGCTTGGTGCGCTCCAATATGAGCGTTGTTGTCGCGGACTTTGGCTTGGCTCGAGGTTCGTCACCTTGACCGGTTGCGCATTGAGATGTTGAGAGTTTTGTTGACCGTTGTGACCCAACGTCCTCGTTGCGTTTGTCTGGCCGCATGCTTTATGGATCCAGTTATGCGGGGTGAGATTCTCCGCGAAAAGGGTGAGTTTAACATGTAATCCATGTTCTGCATGACGTCCGAACGATCTTTTTTTCTGCCCCTGCCATACATTGATCATGCCCTGCTTGTTTGCCGTGCAGCGCACGCCGCTTTGGCTCGGGTCTCGGGCTCGGTTAAGGTGGCTAGCATGGGAGGGCATCGTGGTAAATTTGCACCACAAGCCATGTCTATCGTGGGCACTGCCGATTTCATGGCACCTGAACTGTGAGTAAAAGCTGCCTCCAGCTCGCATTGTTGCATGATCACATGGTCGCAGTGCCACATGTCTTGCTTTGCTCACCCCCAACGAGCAGGTTCTTTGGCAAAGAATACAACGAGACAGTGGATGTGTTTTCTTTCGGTGGGTTCACTCGGCATCTCTATTTACCCTGAATGCGCGCCCTTACGGCGGAACAACTGACGTATATTTTTGTTGTGTCTGCCCCGCTTTTGGGGGGGTCTTCAGCGGTCATTCTTTGCTCAATCCTGACACGACGCGACCCAGATCCAGACGAAGTTCGCACGATGCAGTTTGGCCTTGATGAGACCAAAATTCGGTGAGACCCAATACAAAAAAGCTGGCAGAGGTGGATCGCGGGCATGCACATTAGTCCTGCTGTCGTGCTGCCTGTCCATGCTCACGTGCACCTCTTTGCGCCATTGTGGATGTGTAGTGCCTTGATTGAGCCTGGGTGTCCAGAAGATTTGGTGCGCCTGATGATGCGTTGCGCGTGCTTGGAACCGGAGGTTCGTACTCGTTTTGGCTTTTATGCACAGCCCTTGACGCATCCCAGTTACCGCCACACCCTCATTTTTTTTTTTTACTGCCTGGTTCTTGCCTTTAGCAACGACCCAGCTTTGATGCCGTCGACGCTGAACTTTTCCTGCTAGACCTCAAGTTTGCGACGAGTACATCAATCAGCAGCCCCAAGGCTGCGTTGCTACCTGCATCCTCCCCAAAGCCTGACAGCCACTCCAATCAGGATGATGAACCGGGCAATGATGACGGTGATGGCGATGCTGGCGAAGGCAAGGGCAACGACAAAACAGCAGGCGCCGCCGGAAAGCAGCCAAAGTCCATCATCACTGTTTGTTAAAAGTGCTTGACTCGATGTCGTTTTATGAAATCATGCCAACTACATTTTAACCCCTCTTGAACATTGCTGGCAATGTTGGACTGAGCGGTGTTTTCTTCCTGATGCAGGCGTGCACGCCCTGCCCAGAGGCAGGTGCAAAAGTACGAGGCTGGCTTGGCCAAATTCATCCCTTCTTTTTAAAGCATGTTTATCCCCATCCCTCTGCGTCTTTTGAAGTGAGATACTGTTTCTTGTAGGGAGTCAATTAAGGTTTGAGCTGGAGCAGCAAACAAAGCACAATCAAAGATCAAGTCTCATGCAACCACAACACATGCCCGGATGAAGCGATGTATAAAACGCTCGATCAAAAGAATTGCATGCGTGGGCATAGTTATTCATTACGGAAGGCTGTCAAATCCATGACAGAGCCTGAATCGACATCTCGGTCCTGAAGCTCCATGAGCATGGAGCTGCGAGGACCACCGCCCATGGTTTCAGCCTCAGCCTCATCCGTGTTAGGCAGTACAATGCCCATGCTACGTAGCAGGATAATCATTTGCTATCGGTGTTTGACAGGCGGGCAGTGAGGCCAGACACAACAAAAGACATCATGCCCCATGTGAATGAACACAACCTGTTGGCCGCTCGCCTTGATGCTCACCTTGAGCTTCAGCTCGGCCTCGAGCCGCAATGAATATTCTTCTTCTGCTGCTTGTCGAGAGGTGGCTAGCTTGCGTTTGAGAGCAGAGTTTTGTTGCCGTAAACGCTGAAGCTCCTCTTGCATGGAGCGAATGGGCCCCTGCAAGAGCGCAGCTGGGTTGTCGGCGGGCATCTTGCCTTGGCTAAAATTCTTGGTCGCTGCGATTTGATCAAACTCGCTACATTGCGGGATAATGGGCACATGATTCTTGTCTCGGCCACAAAAGCAAGGGTGCAAAACTTGAAAGAAGGGGAGCACGAGGCGCACGTACCCCGTGGGTCGTCGGCGATTGGAAAGCTGGCTGAGTGAGAACGTTCGACGGCGCTCGCCATCGGCGGCAGCTGCACCCATCTCTTCATCGTCATCCATATCGTAGTCTTCATATTGCACATTTGTGGGGCGCAGTGTAGTCACACGTGTGTCCTGCCCCAAGGCCCCGAGCAAAGCATCGCGGCAGGGTGAGAAGTTCGGCATGACAAGTCATTCACAGGCTACAAACCCATCACACCAGCGCCCCCCAGGCAGAATGGAGCGATTGCACGCTACCTTGGCCTCGGGCATGTGCTCAAATACTTGGTCACAATGGCTGATGATGGCGGACGTTAACGCATGTACCAATGGGGTCTCCTCCATGAGACAGCTTTCAGAAAAGTCCTGCCAGTTTTGAAGTGGGGAAAAACAATGAGCATCGCATGTATGCTAGCCAGCTAGCCAACGGGTGTGTGTGTGTGTGTGTGTGTGTGTGTGTGTGTGTGTGTGTGTGTGTGTGTGTGTGTGTGTGTGTGTGTGTTGCCAAAAGCTTACGCCAGAGTCAAGAACATTGGGTGCGAAGACCGTGGCAACATTGGCCAAGGTCATCTTGTTCTCATCGGCATGCTCCACGACCTTGGCCAAGAAAGCACTGAGAGCGGAAAAGGGAGTCAACGGTGAGTGGACCAATTTGACAGACCAGGAATTGTGCCGAGCCGGAAAGTTTGGAACGCGACGCATCAAGAACTAACCAGAGATAGCGAAGCAGAACGGCGTTGTGGGCTGGCATTTGGGGGATGACGCGTTGAATGCTGCTGATATCCTAGGCGAGATGAGCGGCGGCAAGCAAGTGTGGATTAAAAGTTCGGGCCGACACGGCCGAAGAATAGGACACATTTGCAGCCAACAGCCTTTCCGGGACAATGTACCTGATCAGCACTGGCCTTGTAGAAGCGTGTTGCGTTGAGAAAATTGCTTCGAAGGGAGCGAGTCATCAAAGGCTCGGGAAGCTCACGAAAGTAGAGCTTGAGGAGTGAGGCCACTGAGTGCACATCGCTCTCGTTCAAGTCGGGGTGTTGTCCTAAGACCAGCGGAGACAAGGCGCTTGTTGTGAGCGATGACAGCCATGTATTCATCCTTGACAGCACCTTAGGCGCTTGAATTACGCTGATGTGAACGGCCAGGAACGCTCTTGAACCAAAGCCCAGGAGATCGTACCAGTCGCGTAGGCGTGCTTCAGCTCACGAATGCGAACGGCGCTGCCGGGCAAACGAAAGATGCCCACTTCGTCCAGGGCATTGGCGGTGAGATATTCGACGCAATCTGAAATGAGACGGGGTACGTCACCATAGCCTTTGTGCTGCGGCAAGGCGTTGCATGTGGAGCATCAAAGGTTAGGGCCGGATGAGGACGATGATGTTCACAGATCGGGCTTGTCCGGGTCAGCTGATGAGGCAGCGTGCGCCATGAGCCTACCTCGCGATGAAGCTGGTCAGCCACGGAGACGCCGAAGATTCCACCGCCATGTGAGGCGTAAACGACACGGTACAAAACGTCGAGCCAGCGCTCCAGATCCTTCATGCTGAAGATTTTAACGACGGCGACGTGAACCGAAAACGACCAATATGAGCTGGGCAACAAGGCTTTTTTTTTTTCCTTCCTTGAGTTGCTTTCTATGTTTGGGTGTTTTGACTTGAGCAAGCAGAATGATGGGCTTTTACCTAGTGGTGTGGCAGTAGTAGGTGCGCTGTGCGTCACTGAGGCCTGCAAGAGCAGCAGCAGTACAGTGACCAAGCACATGATATTTGGCGGTGTCAGAGGAAAGGGGCCACTGCCTGCGTGGCGCGCGAGGCAAAGAGCGGCATAAGGTAGGTGGATGATCTGGCTCACGTACTCTTGATTTCAAAGCAATAAGGTTTGCGGGGTTCTTCATCTTCAGGTACGATGCGAATTTCCACGAGCTGCGCTAGGCCCTCAGCCAGGGTAATGACGCCAAGGGGCTTGACGCCGTCCTCAGGACGGGTCTCTTCCTTGTAGTAGAGCATTTGACAGCCACGGATGGAGAACCAACGGCGCTTCCAACTCTTGAATTGTCCACCTTGTTTGACCAACCAGCCCGAGATGAGCTCTCGGCTAGGCCCAGCCGTGGATGAGTTTGAATCCATCGTGATGATGGCAAGCTGTCAGGAAAAGTAATCGGGTGCTGCGCAGCTAATGCAGAGGTGGCATTCGAGGACAAAAGCACGATCTGAAGCTCTGTTCACCGACTCGTTCACGCCATCTGGAGAGGGTTCAACTGCAAAAAGATGTGTGGGGACGTGTGACTTCACGTGTGTGCACTCGCCACGAGAGCAGAAGAGGAGCTGAACAGCAAGACTATCGAATCGGTGAATACGAGTGCGTGAACAAGGGTGAGGGATTTCGCGGAAACGCAAGGAGTGAAGAGCCCGCAATCAGGCCAAGTTGGAACACGCCCGTGCCAGCGAGACGCGAGCGGGCGAGAACAAACGACCCGTGCCTGGAGCCAAAGCTACTACGCCTCACAGTGAGTCATCAAGAAGAGAAGCAGGACAATCGCTTACCGCGCACAAGTTCAAACAATCATCTTCCAAACAGCACGAGTCCACACCGGGTCTAAGTTGACGGCTGCTGGACTCGATGCTGAATGCCTGATCCAAACAAACATGCGCAGACACGCCAGGCAATCGCGCAGCGGAAATACGCCAGCGAGTGAACGAGGTCGTCGCGAGAAGACCGACGAAAGGCATCAAGCTTAATAAACCAATAAATGAAACCGCTTTGCAAGTTTGCAAGGGGATTTGGCTTATTAAACCGAAAAAACCAAAAAGTGCACCATTATAAGCCGACATGCTTGTTAAAATAATGCCAAGCTGGAGAAGCAGAACTGCTACCATATGAAAGTTCACATGGACGCTTGATAGGATGTCAGACTTTCAAAACGTGTCGCGTCTTGTGTACCGACGGCGACAACCACTTGGTTTTCATTGTCGGCTCCGAGCAGTTTGCGACCATAAAAGTAATTTTGGTGTCGCTGAGGGCGAAAGAACACCTGCAACCAGGTAGCGTCAAGGCAAGCGTTTGAACGACGAAGCTTGCCACAACACCACCTTGCACGTATATCAAGGGGTTCCCTTGTGTTGGCGACACGTTGATCAGCTGAGTGATATTTTGTCAAAGACATCTTGATTGTTGTTGTTTCCTCTTCCTTTGCTTTGGTTTGCTTTTATACATTTCGTGTTTTGAGGCTCGGTCGAAACAAAACGCCGCAGGTCTGACGCGCATGTCGATGGTTGTGATATAACTCATCGCACCACGAGCTGAGAACAATTGATAGCTTTAAGACGTCAATCGCTTTCACGCAGAGATTTATTGACGTTCTACAGAGTCGAATTTATCACAACAGGCATGTCACGCGCTTGACCTTGATTATCGAGCGAGAAGGGGAGTCGATCAGCGGATCAAGCTAAGCAACTACACCACCGAAACACAAGCAAGGAAAATAATACAACGGCATTGGTTCTTGGTTGTGGTTCCTGTCGAATCTTTGCTTTGCTTTGGTGGTCAAACGCTTCCTCCAAATTTACTATTCGCCAGTTGATACTGCTTGAGACGACCGGCTTCAGGTGCTCTCTCGGCCGTGGCATTTTTTTACCTTGCGCACCCCGCCATCAGTCTTCACTCCATGCCTCGCTCTTCGGGTCGGCGCCCCACCTCCTCCCTCTTCATCACTCGCATCGACGTCCCTCTCTCGCTCGGCTGCGCTGTTGCCAGTTCGAGATGTTCCGAACACATAATCTCCACGACCGCCTCGACCAGATTGACGGGGAGGTTCTGGCGGCTCGCCGCGCTGCGCTCGAGCGTGACGGCATTTCCAACCCGCAAGCCTTTCTTGAGGGGAGCAAAGTGGGCTGCACCTCTCTGCTGCAGAACATTCGCGTGCTTCTGCACGCCAGCCGCAGCCAACTGCCGACACCGGACATGATCGTGGCCGAGATTGCCGAGACGGCGCGGTGCGACAGCATCTACACGGAGCCAGAGCGCATGCGCACTGTGCGGTCGCGCCTGCTCGAGCGACTGGGGCCAGACCTTTACAAGAAGTGCGCCACACCGGACGGCGAGGGGCTCAGCGAGGTGGAGGAGCGTCGCGTTGGTCACTGCATCGCCCACTACGAGCACTTCATCCGCACACAGGCACGGTCGAGCCTGCCTTTCGGCCCGTACGCGCTCGCGCTCATGGCCGACTACGCGCTCCACATCGGCCTGGCACTGACGGCGGGGGGGCTGGTCGCCAGCGCCCCCAACCTCATACGGAACTCGCAGCGGTGGCACGCGGCCCGTGAGGCTCGTGCCAAGACCACCGAGGCCAAGCGATCGATGTCCGAGGTGGCCAAGCCCACCGAGACCAAGCGATCGACGGTGTCCGCGGTGGCCAAGCCGGAGCAGCAATCGCCGGCCACGCGGGACCCATCAAGGCTTGCCGTGGGCCATGTTCCCCACCCTTCAGCGAACCAACGAGCAATCCGCCGAGCCGGGAATCCCCGAGCATGTGTGAAGGTAGGCAAACAGAGAGAGCGTTGTTCCAATTCTGGAAAAAATATTCATGCCGCCGGGCCATATCGGCCACATATTGACGCCTGCGCACGAGCTGGTCCCGCTCTTTCGAATATACCCTTGGCCACCACTTCAATCGAGGAAATTAACACGTTAAAAAAATAATAATAATAAGATTCGATCACCAGAAGGATAATGAACCGGTATACCTCTAACTGACACTGGGGTGGGGAGAAGTTCGGCGGGGTACTGTGGTAGGGAGTTGTTCGCAGAGAGAATTTTTGGCTGGGGGAGCGAAGCCCCCGTCCCCCACCTTCTTCCCACCGCAGAATTTACACACTTTTGGGCGAATTTTGCTGCGTGTTTCAACCGATTGTTCCGCCCCGGTCGCTACCCTCTTGCGAGCCGGTGAATGTTAGGCCACTGGGGGGCGCATCATGAGCTCGTCAAGGAAGCCCCCCAGTGGCTTGAAAAAAGACAAAGACGTGCGTTTTGGCTGTCCAGACATTTTCTACTCTTGCTCACTTATCAATCAATTTAGCACATCTAGATGTATCATTACCGGCCAGAACACACTCACGTTCTCCCGTCGATCAGCGCGCCTGCACGGCAGACAAGGCGAGGTCGAATATTGAAAACACCATCAAGCAACGCGGCGGTTCCAAAGAGCCAGAACGGACAATGGCCAACGTGTCTGGCGCGGCAAGGCCAGCCGTTTGGGTCGCGGTTGCGAGCCAGGCAGGCCGCAATGGCTTCATGGATCTCTTCCTCCGAGCGCGGAGGCAGGCCGTGGTGGAGGCGCGAGACGCGGTCGTGGCGCAAGCGCTGCTCGGCTACGACCTGCGAAACGTGATCGTCCAGCAGGAGACAGTAGTCCACCAGCCGGCCGGCACCTTGTGCCCTCAATTTGAGAACTAACATCCGGATGTAAAACGAGAAACGAATTAACAAGCAGTGACGATCTATCTGCATGCATGCTCTTCTTAAAGAATTATGTCAGATTATACCCTCTGTGTGTGTGTATTCCTCTGTGTGTGTGTGTGTTGTGTGTGTGTGTTGTGTGTGTGTGTGTGATTGCTTACGACGATCAAAAGCCCGTGACACCTTTGAGGATCTTGAGGGGGTGGGGGTGTCCAAGCGATTTCGAGGTCGTCACTGCGCTGCGGGTTTGAATGTGTGTGTGATTCGGTGTCAGGCCAGGCTGGCGTATTTGGGTACATAGGTTTGGTGCTGCGCTCCAGCTCCAGCCTGTTCCTGCTTTTGACATGTGAGAAAAACTTGATCGTCAATTCGTTGGACACCGGACGGACAGCATCCAAGAACCATCGCCTCCGATCTGCGACACAGCCACACACACACCCTGATCTCGATCTCGCGATCCTCCTTTTACGACAGCTCTGTGATGGAAAAGCCATGGGGAGGCGAGAAAGAGAGAGAGAGGAAGAGAGAGCGAGAGAGAGAGGATCGGCCGTCGTTTGCATCTGAATACCAGACGGATAAACGCGTGACTCTCGACAAAACGAGATGGCTGAAGCGCAGCGTGCCATACTGGGAGTGGCCCTCCTGGTGCTGCTGATGCTGTGCACTTTGATCGTTCATCGGGGCTCCTTGGGCTCCAACCATTTGACCGCTGAACCACAGCCTGTAGCATTGCCAGACACCGAAGAAGGGGCCACCGCTGGCCGTGTCTTCAACGTACGCGCAGCCGAATTCCACGGCCCTGATGCCACCTTGGCTCCCCTCGCGGACGAGCCGATCGCTGCCCTAGTACAGGCGCCAGCAATGTACCAAGCACAGACGCGGCCTATCATCAGAGTGCCCCACTTCAAAGTTTAACCCACACTGTCTCACAAAGGCGCCGTCTGCGCGTGGCTTGGGATGGCCCCTTTGCTGCTGGCATGCCCATGGGCTTTGCCCAGGAGGGCTTGGGCTTTTTGAAGGGTCTGCGACATCGCGCCGATGTGGCCCTCGTCTCCACTTTTATCTTGGACAATTACCGTCGCATGATCACAAAGGAACAGCGTCAAATCCTGGATGACCTGCACAACCTTCGTAGCCCAGCTGCGCTCGAACCGGATGTCTACGTGACCCAGTGGACTCCGGATCCTGGCTTTCGAGAGCGAATTTCCTGGTATCTGGATCGCGACGTACACCCTACCAAAAGGGACTTTAAGGTCGTGGCCCGCCTCATGTTTGAAACAGATACCATTCCCGCGACTTGGGCCCGTGGTACGAAATGTCGCGCTTTCACTCGTTTTCTTGCTTGAATCGGCGCGATGACAATCCTCCCATCAACAGGACACAGTATTTTAGTGTCTTGCGTTTGAGTGAGGCTAAGCAACTGTCTGCAGCGGAAGATCACCTGACCTCGGCCCCGACATGTGTGTTCAACCCTTGCATCTTTAGATTTTTCGCGGATGGACCGTATTCTCGTGACCAGCGAGTGGCAGCTGGATGTTTTTGCTGCCAACGGGGTGCCTCGTAGCAAGCTGCGCGTGCTGGGCGAGGTTGTGGACAGCGAACAAGAGTTTGACCCAGCTCTTTGGCCCGACAAGACCAGCATTCGACAGCGACTCGTTCCCAGGGCACAAGACCGCCTGATTTTTCTCTCTGTAGGCAAGGCTGAGGCCCGCAAAAACTGGAATACCCTGCTGCACGCCTTTTACCAAGCCTGTCAGGAGCGTGACACCGATGACTTGGCTCTGGTGATCGTGAATGGCGTCTCAGAGTTTGAAAAACAACGTATGTCTTGCCATGCTTATCATCCTGCCCCTCTTATCCCTGACAGCCGTGTCTGGCCAGCCTTGACGTTTGAGCTTACCTTCTTTTTTAAAAAAAAAAAAAATGCGCCCGTGTGGCTGTTTTAGGGTTTCGACCCTCCCAATCACCTCGTGGTCTTGTATTGACCTTACACGATCTCAACGCCGTTGATCTCGTGCAATTGTACAAGTATGTAGCGGCAACTGCAAGCAAATGTGATCCGCGCCGCCGCCCTTACGTTGTTCCTCCCACCCATCACCCATGTCTGCAAAAGAGCGGCCGATGCCTTTGTGACGCCAACCCATGGGGAGGGATTTGGACGACCTATTGTCGAGGCCATGGCCATGCAACTCCCCATCCTGGCCACCAACTGGTCAGCCCCAGGAGAATACTTGACACCCGATCGCGGATATCCCATTCCCATCGAGCCTGACTTGGTCCAATCTTCCGATGGCCATGGTCGGTGGGCGGCGGTCAATGATGCAAGCGTGAAAGCTCTCATCCTGCACGTTGCCGACCATCCCGAGGAACGGGCTGCCAAGGCTGCGGCAGCCCGTGCGTACGCTCTGGCTCACTTTAGTGAGAAAGTCATTGCCGATCGCCTCTTGGAATTGTTGCAAGAGGTCGTTGACAGCCCCCATACCTAATCACAATAATCATTCTTCCTTTCGCATTGTCTCCCTCTCATTTCAGCATTAGATGACCCTGCACACCTCGCGATCTATTTCAAAACCAATTCATATCTGCACCAGTGTCCTTTTCATCGTGTCCCCCTGCCCTGTTCCTGCCCCTGCCCCCTATCCCTGTCTCCATGTTCTCACTCTCTTCCTGTTTTCTGCTTCTTGTCTGTCCATTAAAGTTTTTGGTTTGCCGAACGAATGAAAAAAATTTCTTTGTCTCCTTTTGTGGTCTATCATCACTTCATTCGTTGAATTTGTCCCATTCGACTCTCTCTGCGCAGCTGAATTTTACATGTGAAGCACCAGCGCCCCGCCCCGCCGCCGCAACTACACACGCGCGCGCGCGCGCGCGTGGTGTTCGAGTCAGTTGCTTCATCCTTTTTATTTCCCCTGTGGGGCTTTGTGTCTTTGTCTCGATTCAATCGGCCTGATCGTTGGTTGTTGTTTTTTTTATCTTTACGTCCTGCTGTTAAGATCAGCCCGGCGTGCTTGGGCGCGAGTGGACAAGCGTAGCTTCAGCCAGCAAACCTCCATAGCACCCAAAAGAAAAATGCGTGTCTCACATGTTGCCATCAGCGCCGTCTTGGCCCTTGCAACTGGCGCCTTGCTCATTTGGCCCCTGCGCGAGGTCTTGCAAGTCACTATGCAAGGTGGCTCCTGGATAGGCAGAGTTGGTCGTGAGCCGACCGCGCTCGAAAGTGAGCAAAGTGCCATACGAGTCGCCATCCCAGGCACTGAAAATTTTGCAGCTACAAAAACCCCTACTACCCCGGGCTTGGGGCCTGCAACACGCACTCGTGTTTCTCCCACTGTCCAGAAGCCCACCACCACCGGCCCTCGGGCCATCGCATCAACCCAGCCACCAGCGCGCTCGAGCCGGCCACCGCCGCCTTTGCAAACAACACAGAAAAAACCTGCAGCGTCTACCACCGTTTCTCGCACCACGCCAGCCCGGCCAGCCCGAGTGATGAGCACAGCCCAGACGACTAAGAAGCATCAATCCGCCGCGCCTACAAAACCGCCACTTGCTCGAAAGCTGCGCGTGGCATGGGATGGACCCTTTGCGTCGGGTCTGACCATGGGCTTTGCGCAAGAAGGCCTCGGTTTTCTCCTTGGTCTCCGTCATCGGGCCGATGTTGCATTGGTGACCACATATTTTGAGGACAACTTCCGGCGGAAAATCTCCGCCGAGCATCTGAGCATCCTCGAGGGATTGCGCAATTTAAAGAGTCCTGCAGCTCAGCGCCCAGACGTCTATGTGACGCAGTGGACGCCAGCCCCTGGGTTTGATGAACGCATCCAATCGTTTTTACACAAGGACGTGCGCCCGCAAAAACGGGACTTTAAGGTTGTAGCCCGACTCATGTACGAAACCGACACCATTCCCAAAGTATGGGCTAAAGGTAAGAGCGAGTGCTCAGCTTTTTACACCCTGCCATCTCCACTCAAGAGGTCTACTTCTTTTGTCCTGACTTGTCTTGCCCGCTTGGAGCTGGGCGTGTGATTTTCGTTTTACAAAACTGCCATGTTGTGTCTCCTGACCCATACCTGATCTACATTCGCGCGCTAGACCTGCCACGAATGGACCGCATTTTAGTGACAAGTGCATGGCAACTGGAAGTTTTTGCGGCCAACGGCGTACCGCGGAGTAAGCTGCGCGTGCTGGCTGAGGTTGTGGATGGCGAACAGGTCTTCAACCCAGCCCTTCTGCCCAGTAAGGAGGCTTGTCAGCAGCGCCTGGTACCTTCCGTCCAGGATCGCTTCGTCTTTCTCTCTGTGGGCAAAAAGGAGCTGCGCAAGAACTGGGACGCTCTTTTGAGAGCTTTTTTTACGGTCTGCCAACACCGAGAGGCAGATGACCTAGCCTTGGTTGTCGTCAACGGCGTGCCAGCCGCCGAAGTCGACTGTAAGTGACCCCATCCATTTCGCGCCCCCAAAGTTTTTTTTTTCAGGTCACAGGCGCTTAGCAGCAAACATTTTGATGTGGTGGTGGGTCTTCAGGTCTGCGCCCCCGTGGTATGACCAAAGGGAAGGTCGTGGCTCTTAAGAGTCTCTCTGCTGTGGATATTGTCCACTCGTATCGGTACGCCTGCCCGCAGCGCACTAGAATGGCTACTCTTTTTTTTCCGTTCACCTTTTGCCGTACGCACTGTGCTTTGGTCCATGAATTCACACTCGGTCCGTCGTTTGGCTCACAGTGCAGCAGATGCCTTTGTGACGCCGACGCACGGTGAGGGGTTTGGGCGTCCCATTGTGGAGGCGATGGCCATGGAGCTACCAACGATTGCAACCAATTGGTCGGGGCCCGCTGCGTTCTTGGGTGAAGCTTGGTCGTACCCTCTCCCCATCAAGGGTTTGGTAGCGGCTGACCGAGGCAATGGGAAGTGGGCAGATGTAGCTGAAGAAAGTGTGGTGCAGCTGATGGAACACGTCCTGGCACACCCTGAGGAGCGAAGAGCCAAGGCAAAAGCCGCCCGAGCATACGTCTTGGCTCACTTTAGCGAATCCGTCATCGCCGATCAGCTCTTGAATATTTTGGAGGAGGTGGTTCGTGATGGTTGATAATGAACTTGGAAAAAAAAAAAAATGGGGCAGAGGTGCCAAGACCGGGCCAACTCCCCCCTGCTCGCATTTACGTGAAGCGTTCACCATGCCACGTATTATTCATTCGCAACGAGCCAAGGAAGGATATCGAATTGACAGTTTTGATCATTTTAGCTGCTCATCACTGACCACCGCCGTGCCTCTTGTGTTTCTTTGCCTAAAACCTAGCATTGAGCCAGATGCCAAGACCATTGTCCCACTTCGCCTTGATCTTAGCCACAGCCATGGTTATTTATCTTGATCTTAGCCACAGTCACGGCCACAGCCACGGTTATTCATCAGTCCATCCGCTGCACCTTAACCTTGCAAATCTTCATCTACATGTGGTTCATTTCATGTGAAATGGTCAAAATCATTTGAATGTAAGCACTAAAAAACTACCACAAGTACATCAAATCAGATGACTTATGTGGTGAAGTGCCAAAGCTTTTGTTGATGTTTCAAAGTCGTATGTGTGATGCATTTTGTACAAAACACACAACAACGCGCTTGGACGCCGCCTGCCAGTAAACGGCAGCCAGACGGTGATCGAGGAGCAGGGACTTGAGTGGCCGTTTAGGCATTGGTATATGAAGCAGCAGCTCACTGGGAACCAGTCTGAATTGGAGCAACGAGGTGAGTCTTGGCTCCGGCCGTGGTTTTCGGCTTCAACGCACGGACACACCCACCGACCTGCCGTCACCATGACCCCACCCTACCACAGCTTGGAGAGCGCTCGCTCGCTGGCAAGCTTTCAGCTGTTTTTGACCTCTCACCCCGGGCTTGCTCTGTCCCACACTCAGGTACACCTGTACCATGGCAGCGCTCACAGCAGCGTTGCGGTCATGGGTCAAAGCACCGACCCGCTGGAGCCGTTTGGCCCAGACGATTCCTGGCAGCGGCCAACATGCCTCCACTTCTTTAAGGGCGAGACAGGGCATCAGCCGCCCCGGAGCGGCGCGCTTCATGGCGGCATCTGCCCATGCCACCTCGACAACCGACGATGACGCCGATTACGTTGCCTACTACAACGATTGTATGCAAAACCCCAACGCCTTTTGGGATCAGCAAGCCCGACAGCGACTCCAGTGGCGCCAGTTGTATGACAAGGTGGCTGACCACAACTTGGCTGAAGGTCAAATCCGCTGGTTTACCAACGGCAAGCTCAACGTTGCTGGTCAGTTCCTGGCGCTTCATCATTGTATCCAGCATGCTCGGCTCTCAACTTTCTCCCCGCCCATGGCTCGCGCCTGCGCTGCCACTCTACACGGCAACCCACGCACCTTTGTCATGTTTTCAAATTTTCTTTGATGTGTTGTTGTTGTTGTTGTTGTTGACGAAATCGCGGGAACTTGTTTTTGTGTCGAAATTGTGCCCTTGCTTGAGCTCAACCTTTTTTTTTTTTTTTGGAATGGGTGCATGGTAGAGAACTGTATCGACCGCCATGTCGAGTCGGGTCGTGGAGATGCGACCGCACTCATCTACGAGGCTGACGAGCCAGGCACCACCCAACACGTACGCCGACGGTTCACCTGATGTCTTTGCTTCTCCGAGCCCCCCCCCCCCCCCCGGCTTAATTCATCACCTGGTGGTTGGGCCTTAATCTGCCCGAACAGAT